CTTTCACGGAATTGGAATCAATTGAACGGAAAACCTTCAATTGTGAGCAAATGGTTAACTGTATTTTAAACTCGTACCCAAAAAAAGAAAGAAAAAAAACCTCAGATATAGCTGGTTGACATCCAATATACCTGAACATCCCAAGCTTCTAGATCATCTCCACTCAGGCAAGGAACATCCGCTATCCCAATAATTTCAGGAATTCTCTCAATCCTGAGTAATGCATCATCATGCATTGTTTTCAGTTTCTGAAGACCGTGTGGTTTTGAAGCCTTCAACCAACGCTCCTCAAAATTGGTGAGGATGTCGTATGCTGCTGGACCATCAATTTTACTGTGCAAATCATGCCATGGCTGCCTTGGACAACCAATAGCACGCTCCTGTTGTGTACCCAAAAAAAAAACTGCGGTTTAAAAGGTGAAGATGGGGAAAACTCTACATTATTACACTATTTGAAATTGATTCATCAAGGTGAACTTTTCATGAGAGCTCTACCACGGAACTGGTAAACCAGTAACAACAATGAATTGCATGCTCCTTATAGGATCACAAAAGTATGAGAAACTTTTGAAGAAAGAGTGAGCATGTAGTTCATTAATAACTATCGAGTATTCTCTTTCATGTTTCATAAGAAAAGTGCCTATAGACTTTCAATATTGCATATTGGGTCCATCATCTAACGATGGACGCAGTCATCATTCAGCATCTAATACCAAACATTACATGTTACATTTGGCATTTAAAACTGGAAACTGCTTTGATGCCTGTATGTTTTGCCAATCATAACATTTTCTAGCCACAATTATTACAGTAACAGAATCATAGAACTACACATGACCTTTGTCAAACTAGACAGCCTAAACAAGAAGAGTACACATTTCAGATGACCGGAAACACTATAGCCAACAACAAAGTAGAAAATTAATACAATGGTTACCGAGAAAGTAGGGTTACGACAGTCATCTTTGTGCAGAGTCTTCATACTCCTAAAGATAGAATGCTCTGGAGTGTCATAGCGCCCCATGCATAAATCAAGACCTCCAACAAATGCAATGATCTTTCTTTTAGAATGGCCAGCATCAGCATCCACAAGCACTGTTTTCTGATGATGGGTATAGATTGTTCCAGCTTCCTGTAACCAAAGACAAAATTTGAAAGGTTCAAAGAAAGCACTAACTCAGAACATTATGCATGTAAATACAAACAAATACATACTGACAAACAATTATACATCTGAAGAGTTTCTTTCTTCTAATAAGTATCTGAACAGCACATGACAACATAAATCAATCTCAGTTATGCCAAAAATATTTCCTTTTGGTTTTAACAAGGATGCCCTCAGAATTCCAGGACTTGTGAAGAAGAAAATTTCTTTGCACATGCTAGCCAGAAACAAATGATTTAGCAGCATAAGTAGTCAGTCATAGACCAATTGACATAAGCTCAGAGCTAGTCAGCCATACGAGATATCAGTTCTTGTTTCTGAAGTCAGTGATACTAACAACATGTCAAGAAATCTAAAAAAGAAACACTGAATTCTAGTCCTCAAAAAGATTGCAGGTGGAACTTCTATTCTGGATTCAATCAAGAGCATGAAGATTTTCTTTTGGTCATCTAAAACAATTTGAAGAAGGATAGTTGAAGCATTTCCGCTGCAGAACCAAATACAATTTGTATATGTGAATCAAATGCAATACTCCCACTAATGTGATTTCCAACATTAGGAATATCTAGTGAGACAAAAGCGATTGGTCCCATTGGGCCATTTGGACTTTCCATAACTCATTTCATCCTCTTCTTTTTCCCAATACCGGGTTCATTTAATAGTGTAATTTGATAAGTAATTGAAACTTTTTAGCACCAAATGAGAAGAAGAAAAAAACAAGGACAATGCCTCCTTTCTCAACTTCCATCATAAATGCAGGGATTTTTTTTATCCAACCTGCTTTTTGACCCAGCTACCCTTTACAGCAGATCGAGGGCAAAGTAGCACTTGGACTGAAGAGTGCTTGAAGAAACGCCGAGTCTCCTCATCATAAGTTTGCATGACCCCTTCCTACACATTACATATTCAATAATATGAGGTGAAAGAAGACAGCTATTGACGGACTTGAGCAGGGCAGGTAAAAGATACTGAAGTGACAAATAATAACAGAATTGGATAATGATGTACGACAAACTATTAGTTTTCTCAAGCATTTATTCAAGCTATACTTGGTGTCAACCAGATGAAGTGCATAGCCTTTGTGTCTTGTAGATGTGTGAGGAAGATAATGAGATGAAATTTTAAATTACAAGGCACGAAAGGGAATATGACTGCAGAAAACAAGCAACATTTTCACCAACTAGCTTGGTGCTTCATAAAGAATCGTATCTCAACTAAAATATTAAAATTTTAAGTGAAAGATTTTATCTAAGAACAGACACAAACTATGTTCTATTTTTGAGATTTCATGAATCTTAAGATGTTTTGGTCACCTTTATGTCGTGTAGCGAAACTAGGAAGTAGAACTAAGAATAAGACTCAGTAAAACGTCAAGTCAGTTTCAGCACCATATAGAAGAAAGGTTGCATTATTTCTCTGCTCTCCTAAAGCTATAAGTTGCAATCAATATTCTTGAGCCCTAAGAGAGGAATATATCAGATTTGCAAAGAAGTTTTTGGAGACATTGGGCCCATTATAACTTGTTCAATAGAAGGATAAAACTCATAAAGCATCCTAATATGCAAGAAAAGTAAAATGAGTTTATGTGAACCAAAATTATATTGTAGTGCAAAATAGCAGAATAATATATTTCTAATCTCCTGAGGCCTTACTGTTTTATATCCCAAAATGCTCCTTGAAGTTGGATCATCCCACACAAGAAGCAGCACCCTCACACCTTCCTGTGATTTTGTCTTAAGAAGATCCCCTAACATGTAATCTGTTGTCTCATCTTTATCCCGGACCAATCTAACCTTGTGGTACACTGACCACCCAGTAATGTATATCAAACGGCGGGCCTGACTTATTGCATCAAATATGTCTTGCCAACAATTCCCCTGCTCATACTGAACCCTGCCATCAAGCTCCAGATTGGGAAAGCAACCATCATGAACATGGGCATCTTGATAGAGAGTAACTCTACCACCTCTCCTAAGAGGAAAGTAAGTACCAGGGACCCCTTGATGATCAGGATCTGAGCCTACTCCCTGATTATAGAAGGTCAAATTTTCAATTGGGGTATATTGTATTGATAGAGTCAAAGTAGCTCCAGGCTTACATATTTTCCCGCTGGAATTAAGGATTGGAAAGGTTCCCTCAACTTTCATGCCAGAAACTAATCGTTCAACTGGGATTCCTACTGCACCTATGGTCTGGGAGCCCACAACATCACTGTCTTTCACAACAAAATGCACTTCTGAAGCATAATGCGCAACAGGAACATCAAAATGCTGCTCCCAAACTGGGTTTTCGCTATTACTGATCACAAAAGTCCTCCCAACTACTGCACCTGCTACTGATATTGTCACATATGGATCACTGGTTATTTTATCAGATGTTTTCCCTTCACTTTTGCTGCTAAGTCTGCTAGGCAATCTTAAAAACACGTCTCCGAGAGTCTTGTGAAGCATATCCATGTTAGGAAGGTTTTTGGCCTTCATGACCCAAATAGCTAAGTTACCATGTAAAAGAGACACCTTCAGAGAGCCGTTGGCCGCCTGAAATGGCAGAACTTGTTGACCCTGCCCATGTTCTGAGCCTCCAAATGATAACGATTCAGTATAAACAGGATAAGCCATACAAGAATACTTCTCAGTTGTCACCTCCAAAACAAAACAAAATGAGAACTTGATGAAATGACACAGAACCACTGACAGAACAATATCAAACAAACTCCACCAACTAAATTGCTACCCAAAAGCCAATAACAGGTTTCAAAATCATAAAAGGGTAACTACCTAATTCACAAAGACCCCCAAATTTCTTGTTGCTCCACACCAAAGAAAGAATTGGCACTTAAATGAATCTGGGTTGGCTTTAGTCAAGGTAGTGGGAAGGAAAACTTGCCAAATGGGCTATATTCATCTGGTGGAAGAAATAGGCCAGAACTGAAATTTGGGGTTTAAGGGTAGGCAGAAATAATAGAGGGGCTGCTCTGAATGAGTAAAAGAAGGTAGGCTTGAAAGAGAAAAAAGGAAGAGAAAGAACAATAAATAAATAAATATATATATATATATGGTAGTAGTTGAATGGGATATGAAGAGGAAGAAGAAGAAGAAGAAGAAGAAGAAGAAGCAGACTTTCCCATTATTAAACTCAAAAATGTGGACCCAAATGTATAATCAACGCGAAATTCACAAATAGGAGACAGTGATACAGCTGAAACAAAGCGTTGAAAAACAAAGAAGGATTGAGAAGACATCGGGTATTCTTCCTTGACATGCTTGGAAGGTTCCATCAGCTGGAGAAATTTTTTCAGATTGATTGTGAAGTTTATTTTTGTTTCCTTTTCTCGCTGCCGTTCTTCTCGTCAAACGAAAATCAACACTTGGTCGTCTCACAAAGCCGGCTAAAGGAAGGCGGGCTAAAAGGCGAAGCTGTCGCTGGCTTTTAGGCGCGTGTTTTATAATTATCAGTTTTTTTAATGACATTTAGACCGTTATGTCCGTGGCTTTGTTTATTTATTGGATCCATCTTTAGTGTTTCATCAGCTGTCACAAGTTGTTGGATTTAGGCACCACAGACATTGGCTATAATGGCGGGCCTGATCTGATCCCAGAGGTTTTAACCATTGTGCACCCTTTGATTCCGTTGCCGATTCCCTTGTAACTTGTTGGCTTTGTGTAGCATATCTTATGTTGGAATGACGATTGGATCAATGCTTTATAACTAATTGGCTTTGAGCTACAACATCGTTAAAATTAATACATTGATTACAAAATTTTAATCATAACTAAAATTTGCGACCGGAAGTGCAAGAGTTCTTGTATCGTATTATTTCTCTAATAGAGGGAGGCTAAAGCACTACGGGCCTACTATGGGAACTAGATGCAAGGCACTGAACCACCTCTTCCATGCAAGGCCTCCTACAACTCTCGCTCACAGTACAACTCAGCCCAATTTTCAAAATCCGAATCGCTTCCTCCGAGTTAACTCGGTCTCCCATCCTCTCATCCACAACCCTCCCTATCTCTCCCTTCTCAAACATCTCCCTCGCAAACCCCAAAAGACCCTCCCCTTTCCTTCCCGCCATAGTTTCCAAAACCAATATCCCAAACCGGAACACATCGCCCATGCTGCCCCGACCCGACCCGGGCAGAAAGAACTCCAACCCGTAATCTCCAAGGATAGGTCGGTAATTTATATCCAGGAAGACGCTGCTCGCCTTCAAATTTCCATGAGCGAGCTCCTTGGAATGGAGGAAGCTCAAACCCTCTGCTATGTCCTTGACGAGCTTGAGCCGCCACGTCCATGGCAGCGCTCCAATCCCGAACAGCCACCTGTCCAAGCTTCCGTTCGGGTAATGATCGTAGACGATCATGGCCTCTCTACCGTCGCAGCACCACCCGCGTATGTTGGGTAGACTCGGGTGACTCGCCCGAGTTATTTGATCGCCGAGTCGTTTCGTAACTCGGGCGGAACTCAAGAACTGAGTCGAGAATCGCTTCACTGCAACTTGACACCCATTCACAAGCGTCCCTCTGTACAAAACGGACGTGCTGCCTCCTCTACAGTCGGTGGCCAACACTTGGGCTTTGTCAAAACGCCGCGTTGCGATGTAGAGCTCCGCAAATGTGAAACGGCGAGGACTGATTGGGAGCATTGGCCTCTGTTTTGTGTCGAAGAACAAAAGTGCATCCGAGGTGTCTGTTTTAATGCGGCTGAAGTAAAAACTGAGCAAAGCCACTGAGCTCAAGACTAGCAGAGCCACAAAGATCAAGAAACTGCTTGGTGGGTTTGTGTGGGGTGTGGTGGAGTACTTGGAGACTAGGTGCGCTACATTTCTGTGGCAAATTTTGGTGGATGGGACGTGAAGAGAAGCTTGTACTGTGGATGAAAATTCCCATGAAATTATATTGTGGATTGAATTTTGTGATGAATTTCCAGTGGAAGCAGAGAACCCTACGAACATGTACTCTTGAAGAAATGGAGAGAGGTTTAGAGGTGAAGACAATATGGGTTTTGAGGGAATTGGGTTACCGTCTAAACCCAAGTGGATGTTGATGTGTTTATGATTGCCATCATAGGTGATCCATGCTCTGTGGACTTTGCTATTGTGGAGGGAAATATTAGCTTCTGACAAATTGGCGGTTTTGAATGAGACTGCCGCCCCAAGGTTGATGCCAATGTGATCATCATTGGGGTCGCCAAATTGCGGATCGTGGTTAGTGTCAAACTCGACTGCAAACACCTTGTAATGGTTGCATGCATCGTTGAGGATTCCGAGCCAGGGGCCCGGTCGTCCTATGGTGAACTCGTCGGGGGAAATGACAAAGGCAAGGCCATTGCCCCCGCGAGTTGCCATGGAGTTAGTGGTGAATTGGAAGGAGAATGTGGTCTCGAAAGAAGCTGGGGTTAGTGTTAACGGGTCGAAGAGGCGTATAGGAGAGGAGTAAATGGCTCTGCCTACTTGGTATGTAGGCTGATCAGCTTGTGATGATGATGAATGGGGTATTTGAATCACACCCTTCTCTTCTGAGACTCTTGCATTGCCAAGGAATTTTAGTTGAGGAAAATTGGTTTCAAGGCTTGAAGTTGTGTGAAAATTTGGGAAGTGAAGGTGTTTGGTGACATTTGTGAAAGGCCCCTTTGGGTGATGTGTGAAGGAAAATCTATGTGCCTGAAGAAGTTGGGGTTGCTGTACAAGATGTACAATTGAGCCTAAAATTAATAGCCACCATAAGCATGGTGGAGAATCCATTTGATGAAGGGTGAATGATGAGGAAGCTCAATTTGATGTTTGCCCTATTTATTGTGTAGGTGGGTGCCTTTTTTCTGGCTAAGAAAATGTTAAAAGTACTAAATTGCTACTGTAGATTTCAATGGTCGTCACAAAGCTTAATTCCATGCATCGTGTAGCATTTGCATAGATAGAGCTACAAGCTCAATATTTCCCCTTCGCCTTTTGAAGCATATCACTGTTTGATAGTGAAGCCTCCTATAGAAGATGTTTGAGAATCCAATTAAAATCAAGTGATCACCCTCAAAAGGCATCCACATACGTCTATGGCGGCTGACCTACTCTTTCTATGCCACCTTGAGACATGACATAAGGCCTTAAAACGTTTTAAAGGTATGTACGTAGCACTCAGAACCTTAAAAAAAGATGAGAAAAAGTTTACATCCCAAATGGAATAGTACATACCATGCACCTTATGCTTGCTTTTGTTTTAAGAATTAATGTCTTTTGAATCCCCCAGCCACCGGAATGTTTGTGTGTAACCCCCCTCTCCTAATCGTTCGTTTGCACTAAAATAATAATAATAACGATAATGTAGTTCATGTTACGTATTTCGACTCTCCATATAACATTAACATTGATACCATCTTCAATGAAATTTTGGCATACATAACTAAATATATTGAACAGTCACTTATATGATGTGAGGCAATTTGATCCCGCACAAATTGCTAACAAATATTTGGTGAATAGGATTAATTCCTTGGTCTTCAATTTTTATGGAAATAGTCATTCCAGATTTTCATAGAAGTATGCAATGCATAATACAATCTGTTCCATCATATAACACCATACATAATTCTCGATCATCTTCTAGCTAAGCTTTTGGTGCATATTGCTTCTTCATTTATTAAGTTTTGATGCTTAACTTTTGTGCAGAGTGCTTGTTATCTTGTACAAGATTAGTGGAGCACTAGTTGTCCTCTTTTTCGCATTTTAAATGAACTCTTATCTTGCAAGTTGCAACTTATGAAGAGAAGAAAATATAAAGATATCTTGATCTCTTTTGGTGATCGTACGGATCACAAAATATGAAGCAATTTTACTGGCTTTAAAATTGCAGTGAGTACATGCGTATGCGCATATATGTTGTATAATAGAAGTGCTTCAAATGAAATTTACTTGCAGTGCTCAAATTTTGTTTTGTTGTAATAGCTTTTGAATTCAATACATCACACTTCCAAATTCCAACTGGCAGAATGTGAGTTCTGTAACTTTTTAGGTTTGAAGCATAAGTAGAGGAGAAATCTTGAACGGGTTTATGCACGTCCCTCTTCTCGCATTCTGGTCACGTGATCAATGAATGTGCGACGGCATACATTGTTTATAGAGCTACTGTCTATTTTATGAGAACACATTCATTAGTTTTTTATTTACTAGGCAATGCTGCCCTTTTTTCAGTTTGTGAACATCTTTCTGTATATGCAGTCAGAAAATCTGGCAAGTTGTAGCTGACAACCCAATTCAAGGCTTGGTGTTGGGAGCCATGCTGCAAATAATTCAACAGAGCATTTATATTTGTGAAATTCAAAATGTTGTTAGAAATGTTGCAACAATTTTACAGAAATAGATCAACCAGTCTACATTGTAAGTGGTAATGGGAAGCAACTCAGAAGTAAATGAAATATGATACATAAAGATCAATCAAGTACCATTACCCTATTGAAAACATGAATTTATACAACCCCACATGGTAAGCTATTAGTTGGCCAGTTGTTACTGTCTGTAGCTGAGTTTTTCAAACATCTAATATCCCTTCAATGCTTTTCAAAAGTATCGGGTAGATCCTATGTATACTCCGCCAAGGTCACAAAACAGCCATAAATCAGACATAAACGTGAGTTCATCATTTACTGTTTCTCCAGTTAACAAACAAGATCGATCAGTTCGTCTATCTTTTGCGCTTCGACTTTAAAGAGGTCACTGATTGAGAGTTGCTGTGCCAGTTGCGCTTCCTTTGATTGATGAACCAGTTGTTTATTTGCTTGAGCTGCAGCCCTGTTTCCTCCACAAGTTTTGCCTTGTCATCTTCCTGTATATATATTATATGCAGCTTTCATTGTTAATGTCATCACAAATATCAATAAATTGTAGAAGCAGTAAACAGAGACGGAGGTAGAGATCTTGTTACCACAGCAACTTATTTTTATATCTTTCCTATGTTGTCTCTAAAGTGCAACAAAATCATAAATGAATGGTGAAGTTGTTTGTTTACAGTTGGGTAGGGCCACTTTGAGTGTTGCTGCCACCAATTCTTCAACACTGTAGTTGTGTCACCAGGAAGTTTGCCCGCCCTTCTTTTTCTTAAAATCTCCTCCCTCACATCTTCAATTCTTGACTTAAAGCCCTGTAAATTGAAACAGTGTAAGTTTGTTATGGTTATACTGTCACATAGCAGCAATGTCTACCAACAGCTTGGTATATTTTTAGGCAACAGTAAGCTCATTTTGCATCCCAAAACCAAAATGAAGTAGAATTAGCATTCGTTATAACTTCAGCAATTTTGTAACTTTTATGTATGTGCAATATTTACCTGCTTCAGCTCAATCTTCAATTCCTGGCGAACTCTTTCCATTAGCGATCGTTCCGATTCAGTTGGGAGTAGGGGGCCAAATCCCATCATGTCATGCCCATCGCCGCCGGATTGATCCAAAGAGAAATCCATCTGCATGTCATCTTCATCATCTGACATTGTTGCACCTGAACCTTCACCCAGACTTACTCCTGAAAAGATGAAACAGAGGAAATTAAGCCTTCAAACTCAGCTACTAATTCTACTTTGTATTGGCAAGGAAATGACACAACTGAATGCCTTCCTCTACTTCAGCTTAATTTTCCATTCTATTTTGCTTTGTATCACAACATGTACACAAAGTATTTACTTGTTACTCAATTTCCCAATTATAAAATTAACTCTTATACAAACTGACTGGTGAGCTGGGCCTATATGCAACAATTTATTTTATTTTTGTTCAAAAGTAGGAAGGGGGAGGGGGATTTACTCACACACTGGTGCCATTTTATTATATAATTTTGTTTTACAAATTAATCTAACATTAACAGTTAAATATTTATGGTATTCAGAAGGCACTGTCACGAGCATTTTTAAAACATTTGAACCTTGGGAAGAAAAAAACAAGACTCTCATCCTAATTATCTATAAAACAAAAGGAAAATGACCATTAATGTGTTAAGGTATTATAGGTCTTTTTCAATCACCTCATATTTGTGACAAATAATACAAGAGAAAAGAAAAGGAATTAACAGACCCTAGAAGGCATAAATATCAGGTCTACGCATGCATGGCAAGAATTGAACAAAGAACAACAACCACTATGATCCATATGGGTTAGGGTTCACTTTTTTTTGGGGGGCGTTGTCGGTTGCACCTTATAACTAATAAAATTTGAATCCAACAAACCTATATCCAAATTGTTTTAAACATATATAATATACTCGTTAATTTGGTATATTACACTAATATTTTGTCCTTTCTCTGTGTTTGGCACTAATTTGTCTCTTTCTTTACCTTGATGTCAAGCACAACTCTTTCCCTTTCTCTTTGTTTTTTTATTTTCTTTTTCATTCACTCTTTTTTGCTTGGATAGAAAACAAAATACTAGTCAAAATTGTTCAAGGAAAAAAATATACTAGTCAAAATTTGATATGAATGCCACTTGAAGTTCACGTACAAGTCTTACGAGACCATGCTAAGTTCTACCTACTACTTTAGCTTAGGGAAAAAAATACAAGCCACAATTAGATAATATGCTACCAATAACCATATGGTTTAGTAAAATCAATCTCCACCTTTTTTATTTGGCAACAAGTTTAAAGTTTAACCAAGTCACCATACGTTTTTTCAAATTTTAGTTACAAAAATAACGTGGCAAGGAGATGATGTCTCTAGCAATACTCTTGTCCAACTTTTTAAGATTTATTTTGATGTCTCTATCAATACTCTTATCCAACATTTTCTGTATATACTACGAGACCGGAAATGGAACATAAAGAACTCAAACTTTTAAACACTTGAGCTATAAGTTAAGTGTCTTTTCTTTATTAATTTGTATTCTACTTTTTTGTTCGGTGTCTCTAACCCTAACAACCAATTAATGAGAATATAAATCCACACACAAAATAATAATAATAATAATGAGGCCTTTTTCATATCATTAATTTATTTTTTGAAGTTTCACAATTCTTAATTTTATTATTTTGGTATTTTAATATAGTGAAAAGACCTTGTACCTGTTTCAGCTAGCAGCTAGCTAGCAGACCCCAATCAATCAAACCCTCACATAATCACATAAATGATATGAGTGGTTACATGCACTTAGTTATACTCCACCACCAAATCACCAAGTCACCAACTCACCAAACTTCCAAGATATGGATAAGCCAACAAACAAGTTCATGCATTCTATTTCCCAAAGAAAAAAAACAATAATAATAATGACTGCAATCATCAGAATTAAACGTATTCTTCAACCTATTAATATTTTGCTACCGCAAATGACTTACTAATGTAGTAATTTGGAGTAAATATTATTGCCATAAAAAATTACGAGTTTGAATTCTAGCATTAGTGTTATGTGTGTGTGAGTTTAGTATGTTATTGACCCTCTCAATAAGAAAGGTCTTCAAAAAATATAATCTCCTGCAATTTTATTAGTTGGTCACGGAGACTTATTAGGGTGCACCCTCTCCTCTCTCAGGACTTTCACTGAGTTTGAATCTATTAACCAACCGCTACCCAACTCTAATCTTTGATTATTTTTCTTGTAGACCCTACCCACTTCTTTCAAGGACAGTACTCAAACTTCCAGAACCCCAACATAGCTGGCCGTTCTTATCCTTTATGCCTACCAAACGCATTAAAACACAAGCAATTTCATCCCTAATGACTAAAATAAACAAATATTAACAGTTCTAATGCACCAGGTGTGATGAAAATGCTTAGATATTCATGTCAAACACGAAATATGGTATATGGTATATAATAAAAGTACGAAATAAAATTATTAAAATCTACAGTAAGAAAGGTGAAGTTCTTTTCAGATGAGATGGAGCATATACCAGTGAGAGCCTGCAAGTTGCTTTCAATTTCACGGCAGGCCATGACAGCTTCCACGGCATGGACTCTGACATGTTGCTGAAGTTGTTCTTTGAAAGAGCACAGAACGATCAAATATTGTGCCTGCAGAATCAAACCCCATACATAATAAAAGTCAATACAAGCGTAAATTAACTAAAATTTATTAATAAATAAAAAGACTAACCAAGAAGTTATCAAGCTCTTGGCGCTCATGGGGAGAGACTGAGTGGCCATGCTGCTGCTGAGAGGCATATGAGCGCAGCAGATGGTGTGACTGAGAGAGCTGCGCGTCTATGAGTGGCAGCTGATCGATTGGCGTTGCCACTCGGAGGCATGACACGTGGGCAGACAGAAGCTGCTCATAGAGAGGGTGTGTGGCTATCTCAGCCTTGAGTTGGCGATTATGGTGCTCATGATGAGCATCGCCGCTGCTTAAACCTCCACCACCCATCATGCCCAAACCAGATTCTTGCATTTTTTAGAGGGCCAAATTTAAACTAGTTTGTGATTTGGAGAAATGGGTTTTGTAGGGGAAGCTGTGATTTCAAAAGGGTAAGTGAGAGTTGGGTTTTGAGGACCACAAAGAAAGTAGAGACCCCTTGTGTTTGAGAATGGATTTTTATGCCATTATGGTGTATGCCAGTGTTGGAGGGAGAGAGAGAGAGAGAGAGAGAGAGAAAGAGAGAGAGAGAGAGAGAGAGAGGGAAAGGGAGAGAGAGAAGGAGAGAAAGTTGCAAACTTGATAGCGTTGACAGTTTTATCGTTAATGGTGTAAGGAAGATGCCATGGAGAGCCGTATATCGGGATCTGAGACACACAACTTTCTGCACCACGTCTGAGAAAAACAAAGATTTTACATACACAGAGATAGAGAAAGGAAAATTTGAAAGCTTTTTGTGAGGTTTTCAATGGTTTTGTTTTGTTTTGGTTTTGATGCCTCTTGAGAAATGAGTTCTTAGCTTAGAGAGGGACTGACTGAGGGATGAAAATAGAAACGGGGCAATAGAATGAATCATTACCATGAAAGCGGTTGGAAGGGAGCTCATAAAAAGAAACAAGATAAAGCTGCTTGCTTCTGTGGCCTGACAATTTGATTGCTTATTTCTTTTCTCTTTTCTCTTTGTATTTATAATTTCCCCTGATTTTGTTTTTCTGGGGTCCTAATTCAACTTAAAGCTTACTCAGAGAAAAAGGGTTTTGCTAGGGGAGGTTAAGTATTTAATTCTAACCAATCTTGGGATATCAGGAATGAATTTTGATTAGGTATGCAATAATTCTTGGGTTATCAGCAGAAAAATATGGGTTCTTTTTTCCCTTTTAAAATGACAAATTAGACTTCAACCATCTATTTAAAGACCTGATTTGGACACTTCACAGTCTCATAAATGGAGCACTCCTTCCAATATGAATTCATTGTTGACTAACACTACAGTCTATCTACATATATCTAGCTTTCTAGCTATAGCTCTTGTGGCCACACTGTATAAAGTTGTAAAACAATTACTTTATTCACTTTTTTAGGGTCAGGGTGGATAAATAATAAATAAGCATATCAATATATGATGCTCAATTCCAGCTATATATGTAAGCTTCCATCATAGTGTAAACTTACCACATACGTATTAACGGTTAAGGCTCATTCATATGTGTGTTGGCGATTGATCGTAATACAACATCAAACAAAATGAGAAAGTCATTTTATCAACGCGCATGTAAATAATTCTTGACTGTTATAATGCATTGTGAATTACCGCGAATACGTCAACGTAATAGTCACCCAACCACATAGGTAGGGCGCTCCATTAATCAAAATATTGGCACCGTATTTTTGGTACCAAACCCTTACATTTTCTATATGTTTTGTTATTTAAGAAAGTCGGCTGAGGGTTGAGCTGTCACTGTTGCCGTCTACTTTGGCTGGTGTATTATGCTTTTCAATACCAATTTGATTATTATTATTAATATTATTTTTGCACATTTTGTCAAATATTTTTATTATTGTTGGGACAAAAAGAATTGAAGAAATACTAAAGGCACCCGTTTGTTGGGAAACAAAATGACCCACCACCAAACCAAACCAACTGTTATACAGAGATCTACGTGGCACAAAACTACTGGGCCCACAAAATGGATTCCCACCCGTTCGATATGTTATGGTTGCCTTCATTTGGAGAGTATGTCCATGCTTGTGTGTGTTTTTTTTCTTTGGTGGTTGAGGACGCCAATTTTATTTTTTCCCCTTTTGGTTGGAGGGATGCATGAATTTGTACCAAATTTAAAAACAATAATTTATTTATTTTCCTGAAAAATAATATAAAATACATGTTAAAATATAATATTTCTAGGACCTTCTAAGTTCATTTCACATATAAATCTCAAAAGTATACCTATATATAAAATAAAACCTATGTTTATTAAGCATTTAGGATATGTCTTTAGGAATATGTTTGATGTGTCCTAAGTGGTGGTGATTGGGGCATTATGAGGAACAATATGGGTCCCACACAAGAAAAACAATTGTTGGGGAGGGATTTGCACAACTCAAGAATAGAACCTACAACACTAACAATATAAATATTCTTCCTATGTTCCTTTTGTTTTACGTGTGAATTTTGCGTAGGTAGCAAGGAAGCATTTTATCTATATGTAAAGGCTTTCAACCAACCACTCATTCCTAGTAATTTTGTAATATAAAACACTTTATATCACAAATTTTAGAGAGAATTAAAACATTTGCATCGCCAGTACCTTTTTATTCCTTTCCTAAGAATTTAAGGTGCTTTGTTAGTGGAGTATAACTTAGTCGGTTGAGTTCTTCCACCTCCACCAATATGGATAGAGGTTCGAAACCCTTAAGCCGCCTCCCCCAATTGCTTGTACTAAAAAGAAATAAATAAAAAAATCCAAAGTGCTTTCAATATCCCTCGTTTTTAAAGTAAAACATTTATTTAAAAGAATTATGAAAATGCATATATATGCATGCATGCATCACAAACTATTTTTTTCTGTGTTAATGCCATACTTTAATAAATGAAACAAAAAAATTTATAGCTTCAAGATCATTATCAATGAACAATTTAAAAGTATTAATAAGAATTTTATATAAATAAATGGTTTGAATAAGTTGTACCAACCTCATATTGCATCACAAGATAGATGATGCTACGAAGCACCTTCAATCGTTTCAGTCATGTGTTACAAAGAATCCGAAAGGAAAAATAAATGGGAGTCGTGTATTAACATCAACATCTAATTGAATGTATTAATTTTACAATTCTTTTTGCACACATAAAAACCAACATTTTTGTTATAAAATAAATGAATGAACAAACCATTGGATTCTGTTTAAATAAAGTCAAATAGCTGAGATTTGATATTTGAGAAAATGAGAGAAAATGAGGGGGAGAAAATAAAAGGAGAGAAAAGTTGGTTGGTCAGTCTAACCACGAATCTTCACGAATCTACTCATTAACCAAACATGTCGATATTTCTCTAATTTTGTATTCATATTGTCAAATAAGTATACAAATTTTTCGAAAATCGTCAACCTATCTGTCTGTGTTCAAATTCTTTACATATCAATTGATGACTCTTTATCCGTTCACATGGAATGACAAATATAGCTCTAATTCAAGCCACTTTTTTGCAACCTGTATGAAGGCCGGTTGATAACTTGAAAGTCAAGGAAAAACTGATCACTCTCTACCGTCTTTCTTTTTTTTCTTTCTTCTTTTTTTTTCCGTCGTCGTTGGCATTAGTGGCAACGGTGGTGGTGGGCAAAGAGGGTAGTAGTGGGTTCAACATTCACAGCTGTAACTTTGTCGTCTTCTTTATCTCCTACACTATATACTATCCTATTGGGATTTGAAGATTAGAGTGGTCCACAATCTTTCCTATAAAATTATTTTATTAAATTAAAAAATAAAAATAAAAACAGAGTGACAGAGAGATGTATAAGAAAAAGTGTGGTCCTGCCAGACCAGAACAAAACTTGAGAGAGAGAGATGATCGGGTGTGGTCGCTATCAATTGGTCCCCCCAACATGCTTGACCTTTTCTTTTTCTTTTTCCCCTGATGATCTTTTTCAGTGTGTGTCTTCGGTGATTCAGCCAAAATTGCTCCCAAAGTCAATCAACTGGCTAATCATCTTCAATTAACCAAAGAATCATTATATACATGCATGGATAATGAAATTTATTGTTGTGGCATATTAATTTTGACGATAAATTTTAGGTTGAAAGATGCTAGGAAAATGTCCCATCTTTGTGCGGAGATAAGTTTTGACTGTTTACGCAATATAGATGCTATATGTATTAACGGTCAAGAATTACTACACGTGTGTGTGTGTTTGGTAATGATCATAGCATTGTTGTTTTTAGGATTAGAATCTCTTTTGATGTCTTAGACAGAGGACTAATGTGATTAAGAATTTTCATGGTTGCCCATTGATTGTATCAACAAACAAGAATTACCGACATTGTAAATACTATATATATCAACGGTCAATAATTACCTACACCTGTGTTCGGGAATGATTCGAGCATTGTAGTTTTTAGGGTTAAGATCACTGTTGATGACTTAGACTGAGGACTAATGTGATTAAGAATTTTCAGGGTTGCCCATTGGTTGGTTGATGTGGATGTGGATCCTACGAGGAACAAATTGGCTTCATTGTTGGTTGGGGCCCTCTCTAGCTTGAGAAAATTGACACACCTTCCACAATTATGTTGTGGCCAAGGCTAGTAGTGGGTAGAGAAGAGAAGGGCTTTGACACGTTTCTGCTCACAAGTTCACGAAAGATCAATTAAAATGTGACACCAAAGAACATCTTTTGGTGTAATAAAACTAGGGACAATTATTACACTTTCAAATGCACATTGGCTGATCCAATAAGCGCATATTAATTACTCTAATCTAATGATTGCTGGGAAGCATATTGTTTCATACTACAGTCACTCATGTTTGGTGATTGGAATTGGGTTGCATTATGAGGTGGGTTGGATCACATTGGATTAGAAAAGATAACAATAATTCAATGATGTGTCGATACTACACATGATTCAGGTGCGAAATTAACTAAAATATGCTAGGCATAACAAGGTTAAACATAACCCAATTCCGGTTGTTTTAGGACACTAAACATTTAACTAGGATTATGAATCCTATTTTGCCCACCAAACAGGCCATATAAGTTTTATTTATTTATTTTAAAATTTTAACTATCCAATTATAATAACATGATATGGCATTGCTCAATACCGAAAAAGTAAAAATAAATAAAAGCAAACTATACATGTATTTTGTGGAATCATATGTGCAACATTTTCTGGGCAGCACTCATGAATGGCGTTTACTTAAATTTTTTTTTTAAAATGCCTCTTGATTACTGTTTATGTTTTTCACTTTTGCCACATTAGAAGTTTAGAACCCATACGAAATAGCCAAATGGTATGCTGTCATGATCCATGCATGCTCAAAGTCTAAGGATTGATGTAAGAAACGTAAGCAGCGGCAAAGATGAAAATGCATGGAGTAAAAACAAAATTTCGAAATGGGGCTTGTATGGCCGAAGTGGACATCATTAAGATTGATAGGAAAACATGCTACATCAGCTCAGAATGTTAGTGAACAAGAGCCCATCACTATAATCCTGTACTTCTCTGAACCTCTCCAATGAGTTAGAACAGGGACCTCATTCAACTTCCTACAACCTTGAGAAAAATCAATCCGGTTAGAACAACTGCCAGGCTGGGAGGAGGGCCGGTGCAAGATTGTTATATACTCGACTCTATTTACAGTCAAAAAAACTTTCATCTAAAAATCACATATAACGCTGGACTGGGTTGATTAACGTCATGAAATAAATCGGGGCCAAGAGACAAATGCCATTTACAGTACACATTTATAACTGCTTGCTGTCGGAATTCACATCAAAGTACACTTTTCCTTGGATTTTGCTTCAGGTCTTGCAGATGAGGACGTTGGCATTCTGGGATTGCTTCTTGTCACCTGCAAAATTTCATTTGGTTGCTCTTAGATTCACATGCAGTCCTTCATAAAGAAAAATCTAAATAAATCCATCATTTGCTATGATTGATTGCAGGATCCAATTATAAAGCAAAGATAAATGAAAATTAAACCCCAAAAAAGTATGCAGTCAGTCGACTTGTCATTGTAAAAAGCAAATGTTTTTACGTCAGAAAATGCTATGAAACGATCAACTAAAAGAAATATTTAAAAAGGATTATCCAAATTACCGTTGTGCGGTAACTCTGAACAAGACAAAGTTAGCATGGAATTGTGGTAACTCTGTACAAGACAAAGTTGAAAAATATCCTTTTACAGAGGCAAAATTCAGGCCACTCTTGTTCAGAAAGAAACAGCGGTAATCATTGCAGTCCAAGGACAAAGGGGCTTAACCTTGTCTGAATCCACTTGGTTTCAAAAATTTAGGGAAGTATATTGCATTCCATTTATACCAGAAAACTGAATTAGAAAATCAGAGTCCAAAGAAGTCCCTTATCAAATGAAAATATCCATGTTTTCCTTTTCTTGTGTTCCTCACCCCTGTTCCTTTCTTTAAAAAAAAGAAGGAAAAAGAAGGAAATTTCTCTAGCAGATTACTCGAACCTTTTTGGGAATCATAGTTCAGTCATGAAACCCACTAGCTACAAAATCCCAACATATAATCGGCAAATAACTGAGGTGTAACACTAATGATTAAACAAAAAAAATTATACCTGGGGACCCGTAACCATCCTTGAATTCGCACTAATAGATGGTTGCTGCGAATTTTGTCGTTGGGGTTGTTGATCGAACTCCTGCTGTTGCAGAGCAATTGCCAATTGCAGATCAGAACTGGCACAACACAAAAATTTTACAATATTAGTAAATTTAAACTCAATGGCCAAACCATAATCTTAATTAGCTAGTTGTCACTTGTCTAATGGCAGAGAGAGAGAGAGAGAGAGAACTGTGTAACCAGTTAGTACTTTACAATAAATACTATTATCATCATAATGATAATTAAATGACAAAAATGTTTCTTATTTGGCTATTTTTGCAGGGATGGTCCTTGAAATGTGATCCAAAAGTTGACGGTTTGGATCACAAGATCACATTGTAGGGTGGGGCCCAACAATGTGGTCCTTTCTTTGCTTAAAAAGAAAGACCCCTCTTTAGAAGGGGATCCTAGGTATATATGTATATCTATATATGTAACTTAAGCAGCACACAGTAACCCAGCCTTCAAACAGTGGTAATATCACTAAAACTTCATTTCTCATATGGCTTTAAACTACAGAATGTAAATCAACTTCTGATCGGCAACTACAAGCAAATTAAAATAATTACTTCATATCAAAGCCCGCTTGAGCTGCACTGTCGATGCTAGCAAGATAGTCCTGAAACATTTGATTTCATTTTAGTATCTTGGAAGCAATTGTGAACAGACTAAATATATTAGTAATAAAAAGGTACTGCATACCGCAGTGGTCGTGACAGCATTGTTTTCATCCCAAGTGTCATTTGCATGACTTTCTACCTTAAATTCTTTAAAGTTGCCTGTCATAAACAATGTATCCCCATTGACCTGAAAATCATAGGGAACCATAATTAGGATATTGAAGGGTAGAAAGAGACAAAAACAGATACTAAACAATGTGCATATAAGAATAATACTAGGAGTTCCGAGTTTAAAAGCTTGAGCATCAAGGCACCATACTATTCTGAAACCATCTCTCTTCATTTGGAATCTTTATATTTATTTCTAAGGCAAAGATAGTGGAATTGCTAACAAACTTTTTAAGCTAACATTTCAGCTAAGAAACAGAAAACCAGCCAAGTCAGGCCAGTCAGGTTCCTCAGGTTCACCAGAAAAATCCCCACTTCTAGATTACCCCAATAGTCCATCAAACATGGAGAAATCAACAAAGTTTAGATATTTCCCTCAAAATGCATAGGTTCAACCATAAGATAAATTAACATAAAACACAGCATCTCTATGTACTTTTGACTGGGATCAAAACCAGTGGCCAAGCTTTAAATAGTTTGATGCATAACAGTATCCTTGACAAAAAAAACATAGGAATTACAGATTTTACCTCATTTAGCTTTTCCCACACCAAATCAGGCTGATTTATGTAACCCTGATCAGTAGCCAAAAGATAAAGTTCGCCATTGAACTGCAAATGAAATGAGATCTGTTGAATATTCTTTACAAAGGAAAGAAAAGGATGTGTTTCGATCAATTTTATTTTCCACCAGATATAAGTGTTCTTGGAAGTTCAATAGAAAGCAGCACGGGTTATTTAACTTCCACAGCCTACTGACCTTAAACATGGTGCTGAAGTGATTATTGCGGAAGAAAACGCAGAGTTCACGCTCTTTAAGGCCATCTTGTAAGCAGAAAAGGCTTTTGAAAAATAAAATAAAATAATAATCACAATAAACAAATGGAGAAGATGGCAAAATCCATATTGAATGTAGGACTTAAAAATTTCAAACAGTAAGCCAGCATACCCATAGAAAGTCAACTGGCTAGCATTGTTCTTCAAAAAATTCCTGATCAATTCACCTGAACTCAATTTGCAATTGGAATGGGAGACATTTTATATCAGAATATTAAAAACATTAACTGAATGCATACGAGGTAACAAATTACAAAGGAATGACGACAAGATCCACAAATAATCATTTCTCCCCTCTGATATCTTACAGTACTCACCTTGTTGTGGAGTGATTTCACCCATGGACCGTGCATCTAAAGGGCTTTTGTCAGCTTGATTCGCAAGCACCACCTCACCTTCATATACAGGCTCTTTGTCTTGCAAAACGGTAGTTCCTGAATCCAGAATGCGCTCCTCTCCTTCATAGATGGGCTCACCGCCACTCGATGTCAAAGTTTCCAATGCATCAGTTTGCTGCACTCTACCACTAGATGAATCCAAACCCACATTTGGAGCAGATAAGCAAGATGCCTCTGCCATGTTGCTCCCATTTTGCTTATCTAGACTTCCATGAGCATCAGTTGTAAGCTTGGCCTGACTCTCAAATTTCTCATCTCCTCGTGAAACATCTGTATGGTTCTCATCCAAGGACTCAGTTTCTCTCCCAGGAAAAAAAGAAATACCACTTTCAATCTGGACTGATTCATTTGTAGTGCTTTTCGCAACCAGATCATTGGAAAGATGCTCTTGTGATTTCAGATAAGTTGGCTGATCAATATTTTCTGCCTTATTAGTCTCCAAAGGTGACGAACACGCTGTTTGCCCGGGAGTAGTATCGAAAGATATCAAATTAATACTCTCATTCCTGGAGGCATTGCAATCTTCTGGTACAGACAGATGAATATTATTGTGTTCAGCAGTGTGCTTCTCTGTTTTATCTACAGAATCTACACGCATAACATTCTCAGGATGTGTACTTCCATCTGAACCAACCAATGGAGGGGCATTGTCAGTAGTGGCTCCAAGAGGATCACCAACTGTAGTTGTCAGTTCACCCTCAGACATTTTTAAAGCCATTATCAACTCTGCTTCTTCTTCAAGGTCACCTTTTCTTGCCTTCGGTTCATCAGAAGCTGAATGTGGAGACTCATCAAAAGATCTAGTTTTAGAAAGGCACGGTGAAGGGACACCCAGGGTTGCAGTTGTTGCAGCCGCAAAATCAACGCAATCTTCTTCTGGAGTATTCTTACATTCACTCTCCATATTCCATGTTTCCAGTGCAACAAGCTCCCCCATAAGAGCATTATAGGATTTTGACCCAATTGCATTAGCGGTATCATCATCCTGGTAAACATGCATGAGCAAATTGAATATCAAACCAAAGGCCATTAAGTAAATACCAGATAGCATATTCTTCCACATAACTCGGCAAAACATTCGAATAAAAAGATGATGAAAGGAAGAATACAATGTTACAAACCAATGAATAAAGCACGTATGCATTATAGCCTGGTAGCCTGCTGACAACATCAATGAATTCTCCCAACATCAAAAAAATCAAAGTAGCACCAGAGCATATACTTGTACCAATAACAAGTTGCCCAGTCCAGAAATGAGATGCACCAACAAAGGAAAAGCATATAAAATTGTCAAACTATATGCTGTTTTCCCCCTTCAGAAATTCTCAGAGATCAAATGCTGTTTTATTTCCAGTTATGTTGTGCTATATGATCTAACTACTAAATACCATCCTATTCCTTCTAGAAAATACCACCAGACACCACCTTAGCAATACATACACAATGTTCTTGTTTAGGCAAAACAATTGGGCCCATCTTTGTGGGGAGGCATGTGATAGCCCACTTTGTCATTAGCTATCTTTATATTGTAAAGGCACACTTGACAACCACTTTATAGGCACATGATGGAAAAAAAATTTAAGAAGTCAGGCATGTGATACCCACCTTAGTTGTCTTATGAAGATAGATGATGTCTTTATGTTGTAGAGGCATATGATAATCTAGTTTACATGCATGAAATGGTCATTCAAGGAAGCACAAACACAAATTTATTTACTATTGTTTTTTGTTAAGTTTCTTTTACGTTTCTAAGTTCTTAATTATATTTTCAAATTATATAACAAGTTGGGCATGATTATCAACCATAATATATTTCAAATTATAAAAATATATTATAAGTAGGAACTAAGAAGATTTGCTTTCCTAGTTTGTTTAGGGTGTAAAGTAGTTTCTACTTCGCATAGCATGGTTGTGACTTATTTTCTTACAGTGAAGATGTCATTATGGTTAAACTCTATTTAAACCCGGTTAGGCTTATGATTAATCTATATAATTCTCTTCCCATTTTCTCGATAACTATATAATGTGAGAACAACCATTTACGGTAACAAGTAGCAAGCCTACTACACCGGGCTCAAAAGCATCAAGCATCAACCACCAGCAACCATCAGAAGTTTTGCAATAAGCAAACTTAGTGCTTCAGTAACTCTACTCATGCTAAATAAGGCTTGAGGACTAAAGGAGCAAACCTGGGGGTCCACTATCCAACCATGATATAGTGGAATGTCTAACAGGTCAAATATGGCACATTCTGGAGTAAACTCAAAATCACCTATCCTGCAATCAGTAGGTAAATTTCAATTAAATTAAAACTCACAAAGTAGATCATCACAGTAAATTACAGGTCCAAATAAATAAGGACAACCTTCTGAACTTTATGTTGACATCAATGCCTGTTGCAAGTCGAGGGAGTAGATCGATAGCATCAGCAATGTTCTGCTGTTGATTTTCTACATATCCTGCATCTTTATTCTACAACACAATAACAACCTTGTTCACTTTAATTTACACAAAGAAAGAGAGAAAATCAGAAGTGTTCATGACAGCAAATTATTATTTTTTACATCAATATTACTGTTAGAATCAATTAATCGTTCAGCAATGAGCGAAAGCAGTTTCTCCTGTGAGACTTCTGTCGTGTCTGGACTCAAATTCAAGCTGTTCCTCAGTGAGAGAACATTACCTGTAAGAAAATCAAACACAAACCAATAAAAGTAGGCATGAGTCCTTTTCCTTAATAAAACACTAATATTGGCATGGATGTCTTTTCTTATGTGCATGTCACAGGGTTATTCACGTTCAACTTAACTTGCATAAGAAAATATAACATACAAGCATGCATGAACTTTGTAATTGATCATAGGCCTGAGCTCATGAAACAAATAATTTTTAGCCAAATAGCAATGGCACCTAAGATTCATAAAGTTTTTCATTCAATTTCCGCAGATTTCCCAGCAAGCAAAAGACTAATGCCGTGCTATTCCATCTTGGCTTGATAACCAAATGGAGTATTGTTTCAATTGAAACATCAAACCAAGTAGCTGATCAGACTATGTTATATTTACTATTTTCCCATTTGTCAAGCTGCAAAGTTCTGTAAAAGTTGAAAAGCATAATTCAAATTATTCCTGATGTTAACTAGCAAAAACCTCATAACAATGCATATTTGATTAAGGTCCAAAACTGAACTTTCTTAGGTTTCTTTTATTATTATTATTTTCAACAGCAGGATTGACAATCAGAAAACCCTAGAAATGAACTGGAAACTCATAGCAGAACCCTCCAATGTCTAGATACAAAACAGGATTAGGCAACGTTTGTAAGGATCAAATACCGATTTTAGAATTTTTTTTAAAAAAAGACAAAGAAATTAATAAAGAACAAAATAATTCGGAGTATTTAGTGATCAAGTCGGTACTTTCTTCCATATTTGTTTGCCAAAAAAAGGCATACGAACAATAACAGAATTTTCGAATCTCAATTCGGACTACACTAAACACAACTGCAACTCCCACTAGGACAGAAACACACGCAACAAAACAAAATTGAGAATCAAAATTCAAATCCCTTAATCATTTCCCCCACTTTCTTGGCAACCAATCAATCCAAATTCCAAAGCAAGAAAAATTAGAAACCGAAACCCTAAACGAGCGAGAGAGAGGGAGAGAGATGAATTACAGATTGCCAGAAGAGGGCAGGGACCATTGTCGTTCTGGAGGACGATAGGCGCCGAACGTCCCAAGAATTGGATGAGCTTCGTCTTGTGCACGCACTCTTTCACTGGTTGTTGCTGCTGCTGCTGTTGTGGTTGTGGTTGCTGCTGTTCTTGGCCTTGTTCTTCAGTCGATGACGACGCCATGGCTCCAATTGAGGTTTGATCACCACCTTCTCAATTTTTCGGTTCGTTCAGAGAGAGAGAGGGTTGTGACTTGTGAGCATTTACGCATTTTTGTTTGACGGAAACGCCAGAGCAAGTTCTGAATTTTTCTTTTCTTTCTTTTCTTGAATAATTTTATTGTTGAATTTTTATATTTATAAAAAATCTTTTCCCAATTTCTTATTATTGAAAAAAAAACAAAACAAAATGAGTTTCCAATTTTGTGAGCTGGAAAAAAAGGAGATGACAACGATATCAAATTATTCTTATTAGATACTAATATTAATTAACTTAAACACACTATCAGACCAACCAAAAAGAAAACACACACTACATGTGTGGCCAATGGGGTCTAACCGGGTAGAAAATAGCTTGAAAAAACTCTTTTTTGTAGTTTAGACTATCTCTTGTATTAAAAAAATAAACACACTAATTCCTTTGCCACCACTATTTGTATTTTGTATCATTGAAACTCTTACCATATGGAATAGGCTTTTTTTTCATTTATCTTCGAAGTAAGGTCGAACTGGAACTTAGTACTTCTTTCAACATTATAATATGATCGGTCAATATAGTAACATTTATATAAATGCCGACATTTTCTAACCTAAAAACAAGGGTCTAATTAGTAAGTTTAGGAGGGTGCTTCCATGGTGACTTCATAAAAGGCCGTCGTTCAAATGCGAGGCAACAACCTTGAGCCCCCATCTCTACTGTGGCTTCATTCTCATCTATGCTTTATAGAGTAGTGGATCTTTAGTTCGTACAATTTCCTTCATGATGATCTCTAGTTCTTACATTTTCTTCCCAACAAAAATGGTACATTTTCTTTCATTTCCGTACTAAATCTCTTTAAATTTGTTTCAATAAATAATTAGGTATGTATCAAATGTGTGTTAGTTGGATTGGTCAAGGCCTTTGGAGTGCTTCCGAGTGATCCTGAGTTCAAGCCCCCATAGTACCTGTATGTGTGAGTTTTCCCTCTCTCTTCTTAATTTTGGCAAAATATAATAATTAGGCATGTTAATATCATTTATTAGTAATAAATAAGATTTAAAGTGGACCCGTAGATATTTATTAGTACTAAATAAGATTGTTGCACATATTTGTCTTTTTCTTTCTAAACGAATGTTTGATTTCTCAAAATAAGTATTTTTTTTTTTACGAGGCACAACTATAAATTCCTATTTATTTGTTACTAAGACATAGAATTGATAGGGAAACATAGCCACACGAGTCTGCAAAACTTCTATTCGTCAGTTTATCTGAAGCTTGGTCTAAAATTCCTAAATAACAAAGATATATCATATATCAGACATGCAGTTAAAAGTTTTTGGGTTAATTTGATGCAGTAAAATTGAAGTTTCTGCAGTATATGATAAAATTGAAGACTCTGTACAAATGCAAAAGCGTGGCTAAAAACTAAGAACTTACGAAGTAAGTTTTGTTTGTTTGTTTGTTTTTTTTCTTGGGGCAATACTTAAGGAGTAAGTTTTGGTTAACTTATGAAGATTTGAGTCTAAACCAGGCTTTGTACAATTTGTAAACTTTGCTGGCGACAAGGCAGGTGTATTATGGTATGTGCTGGCAGGGCAATCAAGTACAGCAGTGTCAACGGCTGAAAAGTTGGGCACGGAGAGAAGAAGACATTATGGAAGTTAGAGTAGTCTGCAGGCATGGGAATTTGTACTTTTGTTATATATATATATATATATATATATATATATAAGTCTCCTTCCAATGAGACCAACAATCTAAACAGTTTATTTTTCAAATCTTCATTCATATATTATTTTTAGAAAAAAAAATCAGAAAATTTAAAATCATTAAGACATCTAATTGAGACTAACAAAATCAATGAACATAGTACTTTAAGATTGTACTTAAATTTCAATAATTTAATTTAATAGTCAAATAATATTATATTCAAGTGATTTTTTTTAGAGATGATCTTTGAATGTATATTTATAAAATAGACAATTTAGATTAGTAAAATACGATGTGGAGTGAGCCCTACAATCTCAAATAAGTTATTTGAAAGATTATTCAACGGAAGCTCACTGTATACATATGAATCTCAAGAATATGCATTTAGCATTTGTGCATTTACCGGCATTTCTGAATTTCTAAACCATTAAAATTATCCAACCGTTTAAGACATGACACATAAGCAGTTATTTTTTCATCACAAAAATTGTTTTTAAATTAACAATTATTTTATTGTTACAAAATTAAATAAATAAAATTAAAAAATCACGCCATTTCCACCACCATTGGGGGAAGGACCTACGACTTCTTTGGCAAAAGGGCTCAGATGGGCTGCTCCAATCTTCCTTCCCATTCATTTCTGGTGGGTCCTTCTTCTCCCTAAGTCAAAGCCAGCAATTGGCTGGTGGATTTCGTCCCTTAACTAGAAGAAGATAGCTTTGGGGGTCACTTAGGTTTCAGCATACCAAATCCCATCCCTGCAATCCTTGTACTGACTGGGACATCGGAAGAAACAAGTGTTTTGAGAGGTATGGTGGTTAGGGTGGCGTGGGAGATGGGTAGGGAGGGCAGGGATAGGGGTTGGGAGGCGGAGTTGGCTTTCTGGTTTTGTTTAATTTTGGATTTTGTAAAATTTTAGTCTTTTTTATTTATTTTAGATTGAATTAAAGCTTTTATATATTTATAAATGTTATTAGATTTTTCAAGTTTTGCTGATGTGTCATATTTAAATGGTTAGATTATTAGAATGGTTTAGATATTACAAAATACGGGTAAATACATGAACGCTATGAAGAAGCTCGAAATCCATATATATATATGTTGTTTATTTCTATTTGTATGATTTAAATTTTTGGTCTCTTTTCTTTTATTTAGAGGATGATTTGATTTGCGTTTTTTTATATATATAATAAAGTAAAAAAGAAGTATCACTAAATCAACAATTCCTACATTTTTTTTAAATATTATTATTTGCGTTTGATATATATATATATATATATTTAAATGATATCAGAACTCTGGCTATGAAAACCCTCTTTTCAAAACCTCCAATCTCATTCTTCACTTATTAGTAAAGGTTTGAGAGGAATTATATGAGAAAAAAAAATTAATTTAAAAAAAAAAATTTATAAGGAAAAGAAAAATCAGGACCTCCACCATTTTGGTACTTTTTTCAATGTGTGATAATACTGAGCTAAAATCAACTTGCAATTCATAGGAAAGATAGGCCTATTAGTTATGTTGGCTTGCAAAGGAAGCCCATCTTTTTCTGACTGAGGGCCTTATGCGCCTTTGGACGGGATATGCGTTATCCAAGAAACTTATTCAGAGTATTAAGTGTAAACATAATATTGGGTCAAGCCATAAAACCCAATTCATAATCCAAGATCTTGAACTTCATCATTTTCACAATAGCATCAACCAGAAATTCAATAAACATATTTACATGCATACCTTGACCATTAGCCTTCAATTAAACTAACATATTTGTCTTGAGCGATTTGTAGACGAGTCGTTAATATATAGGAAATATGTTTGCACATTGAAAACCCTAATATGTGTTGTTGGTATGATAGGTAGAGACGACCGGTTTCCCACTATAACCCTAAGTAGTTAACACCCATTATTGTCATATTAAGTAATCAAGTCGGTATTCTTGCCATAAGAGGGATGCACTCATTTCAATGGTTTATATGCTTTTGTTGTTGTTGTTGCTGTTGACGTTTTGTTTGATGTTCTTGGCTCTCTTCTTCAGTCGATTCCATGACTCTGATGGATGCTTGATCACCACAACTTCTAGTTTGTCTTTTAGCTTTTTATTCGTTTCGACTTTCACATCCAAAAGGAAAATAACTTTTCGATTTTGTTACTTCTTTTTGGTAAACGAGATACTCATATTGTATGTAAACATTTTTCAGTTTAATTATCTGAAATTACCTGTAGGACAACTAAAAATGTCTAGAGGGGGTGAATAGGCCAATTTAAAATTATAAAAAAAAAAAATAAACTTCAGTAGAAGGATTGATATGGCTTATCAATCCTGGAAAAGTGCATAACATAAAATAAAGGAATACACAAAATTATTTTACATGGTAAAACCCCAATTTTGGGAAAAATCCATGGGACTTCTCAATCCAAAACAAATCCACTATAAAACGATGATTACAAGAAGTACTCATGCACTTATCCTGTACACATTCTAAATAATGTTTACTGACTTCTTCGTAACTCAACTTCTGTTACGGGATGATCTTTGACACTCATTATGTTAAACGCAATACTAGTCACGATTGCTTCAAGCTCGTCGGAGTTCTTCCAACTCTCCTTATGTTGAATCCGATACTGGTCACGATCGATTCAAGCTCATGGAGAAAATGCGCCACCATGGTCTTGGTGCCCTCAATTGTATGAGTCAACGAACATACAAATGAAGGCAATATGAATGATAAAAGTGTGATAAATCACCAAGTGAACATGGAATACTTGATGATTTATCTCAAATAAAAACTCAGCTTTCCAAAGTTTATGGACTGAAAATATGATCGTGAAAGCTCTCTAAACAAAAATAACAAAGGTCTTATTGTATAGAACTTTTTCTTCTCTAGGAAGAAAAGTCCACGTCCAACACAAGCAATTTCATTGATGGCTAACCAAATAACCAAAGATATGTTTCCTAGTCAAAACCAAATTACTTGATTTGCACGAATTGAATAAAGTCAAAAAGATATTTTCCTATTCTAATGATGATCACACGCGAAGCCCAAAATAATAGAAAAGGAAAGTTCCAGTTTTAGAAGAATGTTTTTGATAATCACACTATTAAAGGAGTCATAGTATTCTTAGGTTAATACCAAGAATATATCACTACCTTTAATATTGTGATATGATTAAAAACATGATTTCCAAGCAAGTTACTTAAAAGATAAATAAGAATTTATTCATAAGAGAAAGAAATAATAAATAAAGGATATTGCAAAATATGCCTAAATGAGATGCACTTCTAAATGGATTATAATTTATTAAAATCAAGGAAGATCGGGAAATAAAATCATATTAGATTCCAAAAAATGTTCCTATTATGAGTGCATAAAAATGACATGTCTTACCCTTCAAATCAAATGTCTCATACGTATTAAGTCACAATTCTAAAATTCGAGGATTGCTGAGCTGTTTCAATTCTGCAGTTTCTAGAAATCAAAGACAGCAATTTTGCTTCAACCTTACAGTTAAATGACAATTCCAAACCAACACTAAGTTCTAGGAAATGCCGACACAATTTCATACTAACACTATCACATCGCCATGTTATAACATGTGTGTTCATTAATACCGTAAATAAATGAATGAAATATCAATATTATCATCTATCTATATTATAATACTATAACACGATGCGGCCATTTCACTCGAAATCTTTCATAAAGAATAAATGAATAATGTGAAATTTTAATTTTACTTACCATCATTGTTTTAAATATATATATTTTTGAAGAGCACCTCATAGTCATAGCGCTATATGCTGTAGCGTTGAGACGATTGTGAGAAGAAGATAAATAATTTATTTATTTTCTGAGGATCGCTAATTTGAGAGCATTGGACGCGGAGGAGGGTGAAATCTTTGTCATAGGAGACATCTTTATCCGTTAAGAGCACGTTGTTTTTTTAATCTTGAACAGAAGAAAGAAACATATCATGAGTCAGACCAGAAAAAGAAAAAAAACAAGACAATATCATGAGAAAAGGAAACACATAGCATGACCAGAACATGCAATACTGGACCCACGAAGCCCATACCATGAGAAGCGACCAAAATTAAAGAAAAATAATATTACCAAACATAACCTTTTTTTTGCTACAGTCCAAAATATTGCTCAAACAGTTTTGTCTCAATGTTTACCAGAATAGAATAAAAAAGAATATATATACATTTTTTAATATAAATATAATGTTCACATCTTACTAATACAGTTTTGTCACTTAGTGCACCTTTCTTCCTCTTGAAGAAGTATTCACATCACATTGGAAGGATCCAGGTAAAGCTTTCAAGTGTTCATTGACCAAAAAAGGGTGGAGTGTTCATATTAAAATGATCTATATATGGTGCTCGTGCCCAGTCTTTTTGGGTGGTTTAGGGTTCAGGGTTCCAAAAGAACCCACATTCGTACCACCAAACCGCTCCCCCTTCCATAATGGATGGTAGAAGGAAACATTGGGTGCCCCCAGGACGGGAGAAAGGAGTCGCCGTCTGTGGGCCGACTCCGACGAAGAGGTGAGGTTGGCTGTGTGGCCGTGGTCTGTTGGAGTGGTTTCTAAATATAGCATTTTTTTATATAGAAAAACAAAAACAAAAGACATGTTGTAGATTTTGGTCGGTTTATACATGCAAGTTGGAAGGTGATCATTGTTGCGAAGCCATTGTACAATTTATTTTTAACCATCAAGAGTGGTCCAGCGGTTTGTCCGCCATTTATAGTTGTAACACTTGGTGGTCAGCGACAGGCTCAGTTTCACAAATGAAGATTAGTCGAGGTGCGCGCAAATTGATCCGAACACCTCATGATACTTATTAAAAAATATATATATTAAAAAAAAAGGGTGGATGGATCTTATATACTGTCCTCCCAACATCACTAAGGCAATATTGTCTTTTGCGTGAAGGTGCATGAATAAAATATATATTTTTGAACAATAACGCTACGGGCACCAACTTGTTTACCAACTTTTGGATACCAACATATGTGGCACATGACATGGCAACCCATGTCATTTGCCATCTCATCTATTTTAATTACATAATTTATTATATAAATAAAAGAATTTAATTATTTTTTTATATTTAACTATTTTTGTTTTCGGTGAGAAATTCTTTTATTTATATAATAAATGATGTAATTAAAATAGATGAGATGGCAAATGACATGGGTTGCCATGTTATGTGCCACATGTGTTGGTATCCAAAAGTTGGTAAACAAGTTGGTGCCCGTAGCGTTATTGATTTTTGAAAAGGATATTTCAATGTTAACATCTCACAGCTACAAAATACTAATGATTGCCTTTAAAAAACAATATAATAGCAACAACCCACGTGAATCGCGAGATCATAAAATAAATGGAACATCAAAATGAGCCCAAATATAAAAAGTTAACCAAACTTGTTAATTAGGTTCATCAAAACATATAGAAATAGAGCAACGAATTGCCTAAAGGTTAAATTAGGTTAGAGAAGAGAACGCAATACCAATAGAATTAGAGCTACAAATATCTAATGGGAAAGTGTTTCATAACCTTACCTCTTTTACTTTGATTTTTGTGGAATTATGGTTATATCTATAAAAACGTGTTAAGTGTTGAGGAGAATGATGATTATACACATTTGATTAAAGTAATGAGCTAAAATGCTCTCTGAAAAAAAGGCTTCTCTCATCCCTTCTGCTTGCGAAGGAGGCACTATTCATCCTTCATGCATAGATCAAGGAATAGGTGTGGCGTATATTTATTGGGATTGGATCAGTTGTCCATTTCCATGTCCCATTTTATAATTTTTTGACATGTGTCCAATCTCTTAACCCCAACATAACGCAGTTAACTTGAATGAATTAAATAACAACTAAAAAATTAAAAGAAAAAAAAACCCAAACAACCACCATCACCTCACCCGCCGCAACCACAACCCCTTCTCCTCCTCACCGCAGACCAGCCCTCTACCCTGAGTTTCTCTCTTCCATACCATGACCACGATCTCGAGACATCGACCCAAATGTGATTTTGAAGCTCTCTCTGCACATCGCCATTAACGCGGCCTCCAAGCTTGCTGGGTTGCCTTCCAAATTCAGATGTTGTCGGAATGGTGCGAGAGCCTATTTGGCGAGCGACAGAGAGGAGGGGATGAGGTTGCCCGGCGTTGAGGAGAGGTGAATGCCGCCGGTGAGATGAGTGTGGGTTGTCGAGTGTTGGCTGGGTTATTGAGTTGGCAGCTGCTAGCTAGGGTGTAGGGTTGTTTTTGCTTTTAATATTTAATATTTAATATTTATATTTTATTCAAGTTAACAGAGTTATGTCGGGGTTAAGAGGTTGGACACGTGCCCTATTTTAACTTCTGATAAAAGAACAAAAAAAGCGGCTCTAAATATAAAAGGTACCCATTTCCACAGTCACAGCCTCACAAGCTCGATTTCTTCTTCCCCTGCTTCTCATCCTCTGTCTCTCTTGCTCCCCAGTTCTCACATAAAACTCATTTTTGTAGCAGAAAGATTTAAGCCATGGAAGAAATTATATCCTCATGTTCTTCACCCAACTTTGGTCCAGAAAACCCAGCCATATTCCAACAACGTCTCCAGTTCTTAGTTCAGAGCAGGCCTGAATGTTGGGTTTATTCCATTTTCTGGCGAGCCTCCAAAGACAGCAATGGCCAAGTTTCTTTGTCATGGGGTGCCGGAGATTTCCAAATCGACAGAGACTTGACATCCAAAACAACCAACGAGGTGACCAATAATTACCAACCCAAAATTGGGTTAACCAAGAAGGTGACTAGCAGAGAAGCTGAAGAAGCTCTTTTCCATGAAGACATGGTGGACTTGGAGATGAGGCTGGTGGATCATGGAGATGTCACTGGATCTGAGTGGTTTTACTTTTACAGTGTTTCTTTAACCCAGTCGTTTGCTGCAGGCCATGCAACCAATAATATTCTGGGCCGAGCATTTTGTTCTGGTGGTTTTGTTTGGCTTGCAGGTGTTCATGAGCTTCAGTTTTATGAGTGTGAGAGAGTGAAAGAAGCTAGAATGCATGGAATTCAAACTTTGGTTTGCATTGCAACTTCTTGTGGGGTGCTTGAGCTGGCTTCTGTGGATGTGATCAAAGAAGATTGGGGCCTTGTGCACCTATCAATATCACTCTTTGGATCAGATAACAACAGGGTCTCGCAGCAGGGCAGCCGTGACGGCGATGTGCTTGTTCCACCCCTAGAAAATGGGATGTTTTTAGGAGTTCAAAAAGAGCTAACCAGACAAGGTAAGCAAGTCAATTAAAGATTTCAAATAGTTTGTCTCGATATCGATACTTTTTCGATATTGTCATGTCTTCATACTCTCAATTTTTATTATTAACATCGATGTTTTAAATACATTTTCCCCAGAATGTGGTAGAAAAGAAGTAGCACCTACCAATATAGGCGGGTTATCACCAGAGTCACCTTCTGATTCTGTTGGCAATTTCACCTCTGAGAATACAGCGAAGCCTCGTTCGAAAAAGAGAGGGAGATCGTCAACCAATGGAGCTAGTAGAGAATCGGCATTGTTAAACCATGTTGAGGCAGAGAGGCAGAGGAGGGAGAAGCTTAATCATCGCTTCTATGTCCTCCGGTCTGTTGTTCCCAATGTCTCCAAAATGGACAAGTCCTCTTTGCTTGCTGATGCTGTGTCATACATCAATCAGCTCAAAGCAAAGGTTGAGGAATTGGAGGCCAAAATCCAAGAGCAACCTCCAACTCCCAAAACGGGTAGTGTTAGCCATCCTGATCATCACCTTAGCCAAAGCAGCTGCTCCATAGTTGATAGTCATCATCATCATCATTCAAGTTATAATAATAGAACAGTTGTGCCAGTGGAAGTGGATGTGAAGATCATGGGATCAGAAGCGATAATACGAGTTCAGTGTCCGGATCAAGACTACCCGTATGCTCGATTGATGAACGCACTCAAAGGGTTAGGGTTACAAGTTTATCATGCAAGCATATCAAGTGTGAAAGAGTTGATGATTCAAGATGTTGTGGCAAGAGTGCCTTATGGGTTCAATAGTGATCAGGAGGCCATGAGAACCGCCATTATGAAAAGATGGCACAGCTAGAAATAATCAAATCAGTACTTAGCTTCCCTCCATAGCTAATGAGGAAAATGATTTCCCATTGATTTTCTCATTCTTCTTCTTTGGTAGTGCTTGTTGTAATTCAAAATGGGTGAATGTTAATTATCAAGTGAGTTTTTTTGTTTTTCCCTATCTCTATTTTATTTTCAAAATCTATCATCTATATCTCTAGGGTTTTTAAACCAGAATAAAATTTCATGATAGAACCCAGCAGCACCTTGCTGAAACATATATTCTCTCAAGCATGTTTGCGATTAGGTTGCCCCTCCTCCAACCAACATAATGTCCCTATACTCTAAAATGCATAAAGGAAATGATTTCTAGGTCAATAATTGTCACATTGCATTATTGTCTGGATTTTTCACTCTTTCCTTTACCAGGTCCCGTAGGTCAGTTTGAGGCTGTGTGGCTATATATCCCAAGATTTTGAACCCTAGCCACTTAAAAGTGTCAAGCCCATCTCACGAATTGGCCTACATGCTCGTTTGTAATTAGCATGCCTTTTAAAGTTAAATAATTAGTTTCTTTTGTGTATTGTTACATTTTTTTTTCCTCAAGCTACAATGGAATTATCCTCAATCGCACATCAAAACACAACATAATTGCAACCATGGGCTTAGTAAAGTTGGCTAGAGCCGTGCTCCCCACTCTGCACTTTAGTTTGAATCCCCCTCTCCGTAGTTTAGATGAAATTACTATAATTTACTCTCTCTTATTTTCTCATTTTTATCAAATTACTATGATTTATTTAAAAAATTATAGGGCATAGGGTTATTTTTTTAAGAAAATATTTAAAAAATTTAACTAATAATTAAATGAAATTGAATAATGAAGTTGGAGAAACACTTTGCCTATCAATCTCTTGAAACTAGAATGATGAATACTTGAACAAACACATTATCAAGCTCAAGAGCCTTGGCCCATGTAAGGTGACAGGCTAGGACCCAAAGGATCATGCCACTAAATTTTGAAAATTGGTGCATACAGATATAGGAAAAAATAAAATAAAAATAGTATTAAAAAAACAATTCTTAGAGTCCAATTATTTTTCCTTTAAAAGGCCTAATTCATTTTTTGTGTATGACCCAAAACTAATTGTTAAATTCACATAATAAAATTTTATTTTAGATGTAATGAAATGAGTTTATTTATTTTGCTTTTTAAAAAGTATTTAATTATTCTCAATCACTCACCTCTTCTCACTACCTTCTCTGCTCCCAAAACACAGCCCACACACTGTAAAACTTTTCAACCACTCCCTTGTACTAAATTTGTCCAGTGCCGTAGAAATTGTCTAATGAATGGAGGGAGGAAAACTTGAGCTACACAATGCAGGCCCAGCCCAGATCCCTCGTTTGGTGGCTGTCATAGACGCGAGTCCAACTACATCGCAGGGGTTTGAACCCCTTCCCCTTCCAAATTCTAAAGCAACTTAACCACGATGTTAGTTATCATTTTGTGATTATTATACATGGAAACTTGTATTTATAACTCTTACGAGCTATTTCTCAAAATAGAAATTAACATAATTACTTATTATTCTATATTGTTGATCAATTAACTAATTACTTAATCTCATTTACTTCTTTCTTATTTAATCCATTTAATGTTAGTGATGATTTTATTATTCATTATAAGTACTTACATTACTCAATTTCCCTTCAAATTGTTGCTTAATTACTTAAATCTCTATACGTTATGGATTTAAGTAACAGCCAATGGCGGATCCATGAATTTTTATAAGGGTCGACGTTTTATTTTTCCGGTGGCATTCATGTATGTGAATGATAAACAATATCATGTCAAAGCATGAGATTGTTATGCTTACTATATTCTGCGAACTTTTTCCAGTTAACAAGGTGGTGGCTGACTCCTCGCATGATTGCTCCTATCGTAATATGGCGTCTCTTCAATAATTTATTGATTCTTCTTTTGCTACTTCTTAATCGCTTCGCTCGTATATCGCTGTCATATTTTCTGTTGCTATTGCTTTAGCTGAAGGAAGATTAGAGATAGCAATAGGCCCTTTAGAAAAAGGATTGAAAGATGGTTGTCCTCTCTATAAAGAATTCAACACATGTTTGAATTACAATATGTTTTTTTAAGCGCAAAAAGACAGAAGTGATCAATTAATTAAGTAATAAAAAATTACGCATCAAACTGTGATTTGTACGACGTGAAAGAATAAGTGATCTTACATGTAGCCAACTATTGTTATAAAAAATCTGCCTTAAGACTTGGCCCTCACAATTTGGTACGTCCTTTTCTGGTTGTCATCTGTTCTTTGTATCTGGTTTGGGTTGGATAAACAATAATGAACCAACATATGTGGACGTGGTGACCTCAAAGGTTGATATGTTTCCTCTTTCAGAAATGTGTATAATCTAAGATCACTATTCAAATCCAAAAAAGATCATATGTCAAATGAAATGATGACGGCGGGAATCAAATTCAGGAGACATATAATCCTCTAAAGATTTGTTGAGGGTAACTTCGTAATCGACGACCCGACAGGTACTTGTTGCTTAAAAAATGCCATGAGATCAATAATTCTTGGCTGTGACACACACACATATATATGACAAATAATTAGCCCCTAAAGTCTCAAAACCAGTCTTGATGCCATTTCTGCAAGTCTCTTTCTTGCCTAACTTTCAAAATCAGTGGGACGTATACAACTTTAAATCCATTTGTTGACGCTCGGCACATACTGAGCTCATCCGCCCAATAAAAATACGACACGTGGGCCTCGTACACTGGGCCGGGAAAAATGAACAAATCGCCTCGGCCTCAGACTCTAAGCTGCCTTAGGAAACTCAAGAGGATGCGCATCATCCACGTCGATGACAAGACCTCCCCACCCACAGGTTCCTCACACCTCGTAAGATGTGCCCACGTCCCTTCAAAAGCTAGGTGTAAACCGCTCGGATCACCACCCGGCCAAATGGGATTGCCATTGCACGCAATAGGCTAGTCTACCCACGCCCGCCTCCTAGTAGAAATGTAGAGGTCATCATAGGCAGAGGATGTGGACGAACCTTGACCACCCATCATTTGACGGATCTGATGTGACATAAATGGCTCGGCTCTGAGCCAAGGTGACCGGCTTGTAAATTAATCCATTTTGTTCCCCCTATAAATAGTACATAGGTTTTGGAAGGAGGGGACGATTTTGAGACCCCTTCCACACTAAGAGGAATAAAAGAGAAAACCCTTGTCCCTTCTTTCTGGTCCATGCCTTTTTTCCCATCAAGCTTCTCCTATCCTGAAATCATATTAGAATATATGTTAACCATTAGAATATTTGTGGGTCAAATACCATTAATCTATGAGGAAACAATCAAACGGGTCTTGATCCCATAACTGCATATTTTGTTAGGTGAGACAGTTATAACGGTTAATGGAAGGAGCATCGGACGCGGATGAGGCAAGGGCGGAACCAAGGCAAGGGCTGCCCTTGACTGAAGTCCAAAGAAGATTTGGGAAAAAACCAATTAAATATACATATAGTCTAAGATTTTAACTAAAAATAAATAATAAAAATATACAATTTCAACACCAATAGGCATAGTCAGACGTCTTCCACATTTGTATTTAGTGTCAAAGTTTGTCCCAACATCAATTTTAAAAACCTTCTATTAATTAATTTGTCTCCAAAAGAGAAGTATTTTTCTAAATGAAATTCACCCTTTCGTGAATAATATAGCTCTAATTGCATTTTCTTCTTCTTCTTGTGTTTACAATTAGCATGATTTAATGCATACTTATATTTCTAGAAAAACTATAGAAAACGTAAGTACCAAAAAAAAATTATCATTAGATTTTGAGCTAATAACTTTAGCCAGCCCACCCTTTGAAAAATTTCTTGTTCCACTCTTGGGTTGAGGGGTTTGATTACAGGCCATATATAATGGAAGAAGCAAAAGTTTACCAATGGGATGTTAGTTGGATTTGTTTAGATCTTTGGTGTACTCCCAAGTGGTCCTGGATTTAAACCCTCATGGTCCCTGTGTGTGTGAGAGTTTCCCCTTCCTCCCCATTCCTAACTTTGACAAACCAAAAACAAAAAGGTTTTTTTTTTCTCTTCAACATATTAGATTTCTTAGCAAGAGCGCAAATCATGATTGAATTTCAGGCCGTATTGGGCCCATTAAACCCCTTCAATTGAGTTTGAGTGCCATGAGTGACAAAAATGAAAGCGAAAGCAATTATCAAAGAGATCTCTCATGCATCATTATGCTTATTTCATGAGAACAGTTTTGTCCCTTGGTACACCTTTCTTCCTTTAGAAAAGTTATTCACTTCCCACTCAACAAGTTAAGGGGTTTTTTTCAAAGCATGGAATGACTAAAAATGCTTTTAAATAATCAAAAGGGTTTTGACGGCATTTAAAATTTAAAAGTTCTTGCACTTAAAATTTTTAATTGTTTCTAACAAAAACGCTTTTATAAGAAGGGTTTATGAGCATAATTGCTTCTTATAAAAACCTATTCACAAATGAGAGGGGCTCATGTGGGAGTGATTTTGGATAGACAATAATCACTTCTCTATATAATCAGTTTAAGTGATTTCAAGTGATTTTATGAAGAATCACATTAAAGTATTTATGTGGAAAACCACATTAAAATGATTATCCTCTCCATAAATGATGAGTTTTTCTATTTAAACTCCACTATCTTCCCCTACCCTTAAATACACCACACTTGAAAAAATAAAAAATAAAAGAGTTTTTCTATTTAAACCCCACAGTTTTCTTTGTTCACTCCAATACTTAAATCATTAAACAATATTTGTAGTATACATGAGATTTTGTCGTTTTCACAAGGTTTTTTTGTTTTTTGTTTTTGTTTATCTTGTATGGGAAATTATAGTTTGTTTGGTTTTGTTTTCTGATGACAGTGAACTAATGACCACAACATCTTATTTTATGTTTTACCCAACAGAAAAAGGTCAATTATCTGACATCATTAAACCAACCATTGTATCAAATACTCAACGTACAATATCAAATTATCTTCTTTGCATAACGTGGCTTATTTTAATTGCTTGTTAAAAAGGTTAACTAATCAAACAAAGAGGTATGTGGTAGGGTTCAAACCTCAGACCACTGACATGCAAGTTAAAACCTTTTTTTACAGGACTAGAGTCCATTAGCAAAGGATACTTCATGTTTAAAACTTTATAAAAGTTTACAAAACCCAATAGGTCGGATGAAAATAAAACTACTGTGACAAAACATCTAATAGTAAGGGATCAATATACATCAAGATGTACATCAAATGAATTGATAAGCTCTTTCCAATTGTCAATGCGATCTTGATATGGACTATACCAATCAAATACTTTGAGGTTGGAAATATCAAGCCAACGATTGATAACAGGTGGCATAGGATGGTGTGGTTGCAAGTGTAGCTGTTAAAATAAAATAAAGTTGTCAAATGTATAGTTAAAACAACAAACAAATTTCATGAGGCAAAACTGCCAGCTATAAATAGAAAAATTTATAATAATACATGCACAAAGTGTTTTTCAACCGATCTGATGGAAATTTCCCGACGTTGATATTCAGGCAAAGGATGACTTTCTGTTGGTAGAAACATAAGAGATATGGTGTTTGAAAAATGCATCAAGACCACAAGTTCATTTTGACAATCCACAAGCTTTGAATGGATAGTTGACTATGTACTTGAAACTAGACTATCATAATCCTGCTAGGAAACCAAAGCATAATACTCATGAGTCATGAGTCGTGACCATCATTAAGCAACAACTGAAAAGTTGGATAAATGAAACAAAGGGAATAGAATAAGATTATTACAGCCAATCAATCAACAATCCTTTCCATCAACTCTCACACAACTTTTAAAGAGGTAAGCTCCTCAACGTTCTACGTTTTTAAACGAAAACAGTAATATGGCAATAGGATGTAGAGGAGTTTGTATTTTTCTAAAACTTAATATGAAGAGTGATGGGGTGTGTGTATAGATGTATTAGGGTTAAGTATTAAGTTGGATAACCTTTTTTCGTTTTTTTACAAGTAATAAAACTTAAAAGCTTAATGATTTAAGTATTGGGGTGAACAAAGAGAAGTGCGAGGTTTAAATAGAAAATCTCTAAATGATTCTCATTCTCCCATAATCACTTCCAAATCAGCCCTAAGTAATTTACTCTTCTGTAGATCTAAATATTCCTTTAGGTGCCCAATCTTGCCTCATAAATGTAAAAGAATAAAAAAAACAAAATAAAAAAACAAGTATGTACCAAGCCATGTGAATATGGTGAAATCATAAAAAGGACTAGCAATATAATAACAAGCCACATGTATTGCATGTAGTAGTAGCAAGCCACATGTATTGCATGTAGTGTCACATGTTTATTTATTGAATTTGTTCGTTAAATGCCAATTTAGGGAGGTTTCATGTTGATTCATCATGAGGCCCCTGACAAGGAGATGATTTTTTGGTGTTTCAAGGAGGTTTCGTGAAGTGGCAATCAAGTTGCTTATTAGCTCATAAGAGCATCTACTACCATAATTTTTATTCTTTAGTTGAAATTTATTTAAAAAAATTATAAAGCTATTCTAGAAGTTTTCTTTAAAATTTCAACTTCAACCACACTTTCTAATTTAGCAAATTATAAAGGTTTTAATTCTCTTTTTTGATACGTGATATTGAGAGAGGAGGAAACAAGGGCAGAGTTATGAATTTTTCAATGAGTGGGCTAGCTAAAAGATTTAGGGTTAAATCAATTTTGTTTTTTGTTTTTTTGTTTTTTTGTTTTTATACTCACAGCTTCTTTAGTGTTTTTAGAAATAAAAGTATACATTAAATAATATAAATAAGCTAATTCATAGCTCCATTAATTAATTTCCATTAAACTTTAACATAAAATAAATACATACATATCGTACTTACATATTAAATGCAACAAAAAAAAACAGATATTATCAAAATGAAAATATGTTCAACAACAAAATTGAAAGTGTACCCATTTTAATATGTATTTTTATTGTTGTTATGCAACTAAATTCATAAAGAATTGGAATTTGTTGGACTTTAATAAATTAATACATATTGGACTATATTTAAACACACCAAATATATAGGTTTGAAATTTTTTTTTCCACCCAAAAACATCATTGGGCTACAACCCACCATAGCCATTAACTTAGTTCTAGTGGGAGGGAATTGGACATAGAAGCTCGAATGTATGGGTAACAAGCCACTTGTACTTTAATTCTCATTTAGTTCAGTTATTGATTTTACAATAAATGTAAAAACATAAAGTCATGCAAAATAAATAATAATAAACATTCTCAACATGCCACCACATGTGGCAAACTTTCAAGTCTAATATGTGGACAACACAGATATATGTGACGTGGGAGCATATGTGGCCATTGAGCTCAACACGTGGAAAGCCTTGTTTTGATACTATGAATGAAGTTGAGGTTCCATCCTAAAATCAATTGGCAATACCAACTTGACTAAGCCAATGTTTGCATTCTAACTTGGCTAAACCCTAGGTTCCTTAGTTTTTAAATGTGAGACAACACTCTCAATAATGTCCCTATAAAAAGGTATTTATAGTGAGGAATCATGTAGCAATGTTTATCACGTGGCAGCACAAGTTCTACGACTTCAACAACAATTCCAAACGGAACTGCAGGGCATAGATCCCAATGATACAGGAGGTGACCCTTATGATCAAAAGACAAAAAAGAAAACAAAAATTAAAAACCGCTCTAAACAGTGGAGGCAAAGGTCTCCCTTTATTAACACCCATTTCCCATCGCAATTCACAGGTCACAGCACTGAAAGCCTCTCTCACTTAATCTCTTCTTCCATTGCTTATCATCCTCTGTCTCTCCTTCTACTTCTTGATTCTTACTTGCTTTGTTACACTTGTTACGTAAACTCTTACATAAAACTCATTTTGTAGCAACAAAAAGAAAAAGCCATGGAAGAAGTTATATGGTCATATTCTTGACCCGATTTTGGTGAAGAAACCTCAGCTATGTTTCAACTACTGTTTTTGAGCTCCTGAAAACATCCCTTTTCTAGGAGAGGAACAAGTACTACGTTGCCCTCACGGCTGCCCTGCTGCGAGATCCTGTTGTTGTCTGATCCAAAGAGTGATTTTGATATGGTGCACAAGACCCCAATCTTCTTTGGAAATTTCCAAATAAGATGACTAGCAGAGAAGCTCAAGAAGCTCTTTTCCATGGAGACATATGGTGGACTTGGAGATGAGGCTGGTGGATCATGGAGATGTATTTTACTTTTACAGCGTTTCTTTGACCTAGTCATTTGCTGCAAGCCATGCCACCAATAATATATATTCGGGGCCGTGCATTCTGTTTGTGGTTTTGTTTGGCTTGCAGGTGCTCATGAGCTTCAGATTTATGAGTGTGAGAGAGTAAAAGAAACCAGAATGCATGGAATTCAAAATTTGGTTTGCGTTGCAACTTCATGTGCGGTGCTTGAACTGGCTTCTTTGGATGTCATCAAAGAAGATTGGGGTCTTGTGTACCTATCAAAATCACTCTTTGGATCAGACAACAAGAGGGTCTCGCAGCAGGGCAGACAGGGCGATGCAGTACTTGTTCCTCTTCTCGAAAATGGGATGTTTTCCGGAGCTCAAAAAGAGTTGTTGAAATATGGCTCAGTTTTCTTGACCAAAATTGGGTCAAGAATATGACCATACATAACTTCTTCCCTGACTTTTTCTTTTTGTTGCTACAAAATCAGTTTTATGTAATTGTGTATGTAACAAGTGTAAGGAAACAAGTAAGAATTAACAAGTAGAAAGAGAGACAGAGGTTGAGAAGCAGTGGAAGAAGAAATTAAGTGAGTGAGAGGCCTTCAGTGTTGTGACTTAAGTATGCACCTATGCCTCTAATTCTTAGAGCAGCTATATATATAATAGAAAAAAATTTGTAATTCTTTGGTTGAGAAGTTAATAAGGGACACCTACCTACCTACGCATGCATCTATGCCTGCAGTGTTTTACTTTTTTAGATCTGTTGTTGCAATCCTAGGAGTAGTACTGTCGTGTCATAAACGTAGGGCATTGCAGAGACTCGCCGTCTTAGCTCTTGTCAATATTTCACCTCCGAGAATACAACGAACACTCCGATCGAAAAGAAAGGGAGATCATCAACCAATGGAAGAGATTTGGCATTGTTAAACCATGCTGAGGCAGAAAGCCTGAGGAGAGACAAACTTAATCATCGATTCTATGTCTTCTATCGTGTATGTCGTTCCCAATATGTTCAAAAAGAGCAGGTGGCTTGCTGATGTTGTGGTATACATCAATCAGCTCATAACAAGATTGACGAATTGAATGCCAAAATTCCAAAATCCAAACAAATATGGTTTAGTTGGTAATGTTCTCAGTTGTGTTAAAAGTGCCTTAATAAGGCAATAAAAATGGAGAGCACACTTTCATTGGGAAAAGTCTTGATAGTCTGGCAAGATCCTCCAGCTTAGTGATGTGAATCATGCTCTTGAGAGTAGGAGAAATTTCAATTGCTAGTCCTTGGTTAATATCGTGATATCACCTTTATAGATCGAATGGATTGTTTTGTTTGCCTTAATTTGGAAAAATTGTTGTAACTAATCATTGTGAGTTTGCACTTAGCTTACACAAATCCATTAGCTGAGTTTTTAGGGAAGATGATTATGTATGTCCCTCTCTTAATCTCTCAACTAAATCTCTCAAAATGTCTTCTACTTTCTCAAGAAGCATATATACCACCGTGATTAAGTTGTTAATCTTCTCTCTTAATGACAATACCATGTAAAAAACACAATGATGTAATATGTGGTTTATCCGTAGCCAACCCATGGCTGCAAATACATTGTCTAGCCCTTGCGATACTAGTCTCAGATCCTCCGCGTGTTTTCTAGTAGTGAGCATTCATGAGATTAAAAGATTTTTGTATTGACAATTATACTGTTTCTTTGATGTCTATGACATTAGTGGAATGAGTAACCAGTCATTTGTCCTTTTGCATTCTTTTTCATATCTGTTTGTATATATATATATATATATATATATATATATGTATAAAAATGAGTGCGAGTGCGAGTGTGGAATTAATACAGGGTGAGTTAGGTGGTTGTGTGCTATGAGGAATCATTGCAGCAACTGCTCTTTGCTTTTTCAGGTCTGTTTTGTCTCCCAATCATGCAGAGGTGCTTGCCCTAGTTGAAGGCCCGCTCTTCGCTGTTCAGTAGAGTGTTGGGTATTTGGTCGTGGAGGGAGATGCTAGGTATATATATATCAGCTGTTCTGGACTCGCGTGGTGCAGATACCTCTGATTTGCTGTGCTTAGTGGAGGATTGTCGGCTCCTTTTTCTCTCATGCCAATGGTGCCTGTCGATTTGTATTTAGAGAAGCAAACTGTGGCTCATAAATTAGCTCGTTTTACTCTCGCTGCAGCATGAAGTCGAAAACGGGAAGAACAAAGTCAGAGATTTCAATTTAGTTAAAGCAAAATTAATGTGACATTTGGTGATATCCTTCACGCACCCGTACATGGAAGAAATAGGAAGCAACAAAAAAGAAAAGAAAAAAACGCCTTTGTATCCAGAATACAACGGCAAGAAAGTCACAGAAGGAGAGAGGTCCTTTGCCCCCACAAGAAGACAAAAGAAGGACATAGTCAAGAAATTAATTCAACCAAGAAGTCCAAATCCTTGGGTTTCATCAAGGCAAATAAAAACAAAACCTTGGGCTTGGCAGAACAAGTAAGACGGATGATAAAGAAAGCCCATTGCAGATTTCAATTAGCAACTAATTTGTGATAAAGTCTAATATGGACTTGTCCATTACAAAATCCACATAAATTCGGATTGTTGGGCTCAAATATGAAAATAGCACATGATTCTCAAATCTCCTACTCAAAAACTCGGCAGAACAAAAACCACCCACGTAAGTGATTTACTAGGTTTGGTCGAGTATATAGGCAATTTAACCTCCCACTACATGCAACTGCAATTAAATTTGAATTAATGGTTCCGACCAACTAAATTCAACACTAATATAATCCCCGTTGCATCATCTCAACCAAATTCATCCCAAACACTACAAATTTTTATATCCAAATCACCCCAAATTTATATCACCAAAATCCCAAATAAATCCAATGAACTATGAGTTGTCTTAATATTCACTCAAAATAGAACAAACACACTTTTCTCGCAAACAATTTTCTTACTAATTTTAATCAAAGAATCTTTCCTTAAAACTTGTATAAAGTAGATATTTTAGGAATAGTATTATTAAAAATAAAATCAACAGAGCATTCTGCTTCTCTTCCTTCCTTCTTCGAGTAAAATGCAGCAAACATGAGATGTGATCCCCATCAAATTATTAGCAAGACCGACAAAATTCAACCTAAATATTTAATATACTGACATGCACATGTTACCAAACCTAATGTCCTCCCTGTGATCCCCCATCAAATTATTAGCTCTCTGCAAATAAAAAATTTGTGCTGTGGCTTTATAGACACTTGGAATTTGGAAAAAGGGTTGTCAAAGATTTCTTCTTATTTTTTGGTTGAAGGGTATAAATGATTAATAAATTCAAATTAGTCTTTGGTTTAGTGGTATCTGTCTCATGGTAATTGAAGGAGGGAGATCTCAAGTTTGACTCATATAGATGATGATGAGAACAATATATATTTATGATGAGTTTGATACTTAATTGTGATGCAGTTTTATTGTGGACGATATATATTTGTGATGAGTTCCTATCATTTGTCAAAAAAAAAAAAAAAAAATTAATAAATAAATAATCATGTCGAAGCGGTAGCATGTGACTGTTGTACTTACCATATTCTGCACAATTTTCTCATTAAATTAACAAGCTGGTCCTGACCCCACTTAAATTATCCATGGTTGTTGTATGTTTAAGAATCACATTGGAAATGCTTGCTATATAAGAACAACATCTATATGAAAAAAAAGGTATATAGATATGGATCCGGATACCTGTTTGGAATATTCTATTAGAATAATTTAGATTTTAGAACACATTGGTGTCGTTACTAATTTCTTGATTATTTTTTTGCCACTTCTCTCTGTAATGAACTAAACATGTTTCAATTACTTTTCATTATAATAGCAAAAAACAGAATATACACATAATAATTTTCGTACATAATTCTTTTTTTATTTACTTACTTGCGACATAAGTACATAGTATTCTTTAATTAGACTAAATTACATTTTATAATCCGAACCTACATGTCATGTTGTTCGACTATTAAATGTTACAATGTGCACCATCACCTTTACATCAAATTGCAATTTTAGTCCACCTCCGTTGCCTACAGTTCAACATAACAAATGTCTCCACCTGCAACTCCTTGCTCTCTCTCGCCATTCCTCCTTCCCCTTCCCCTCCATACATCATGATAGATCATGCTTCTCTTCTCACCCAGCGAGAGTATGGGCTCCATTTATGACGTCCATCGCCTCTGGCGGAATTTCTAATTGGGGACTAAAGTGCAAAGAGGCAAAGACGAGGTGCACATTGTAAGATTTTGATAGTCGGTTACCAAATTGAAATATAATAACCTACGTTTCGAGGGTGTAAAATGTAATTTACTCTGAACAAAACCGCCGGTCGCCGCATCTTCATTAGTTTCCTCCACAGTGCCCCCACCAAATCTAAATCCAAGCTAGAATCTCAGCATGCAGCATGGGAACAAATAATGGCAGTTGAGAGATAGGTTCAACTAGAAATTTTGTTAGGTGGGACGGTCATGACTCATACTCGTAGGAACAGAGAGGTTTTGATTTTTTATGACAGCACAGCTGGGCATATGTCGTTTTCCAATAAGTACACCTTTTTTTTATAAAAAAATTTCATGATTGGATTTGTTAGCAAATAAAACACATACGATGACTAGATTTCTTAGGTGAAAACATATCATAATTAGATTATAGGCGATATTGGACCCATGAATGACAAAAATAAAAGAGAAAATAATTATCAAACAGATATTTTATAAATTATTATGTTTATTTCATTAAAATAATTGTCACTTTAGTCACCCACTGTCCATATCTTTTATGAAAATATGAAAGCAATACAATTATATATTTTTTCATATAAGAAAAAACGCAATACAATTATGTTTTTGTTTTGTTTTTTTTTTTTTTTTTTTTTTTTTTTTTTTATTTTCATTTTTTGTTTCAATTTGGGTAAGAATTTAGTGAGTGGGGGGGTGGATGGTCTTTCTAACCCCAAAAAAAAGTCATGTGGTTCACTTAAATTTCATTTGTCGTCAAGTTTAATATAATCAAACACTTTAATGGGTTTTTTTTTCGTAGCAATGGTCCCTCAATTATACCCGTAGTTGCATTTGGGTCACTGAACTCAATTATTAGTTGCAGAGGTCACTCAACTGTGTGTTTCGTTGCACCAGTAGTCCTTCCGTCAAGTCCATTAGTTTTTTCCATTTAAAATGATGACGTGGCAAGCATATGTGAAAATCTCATAGATTCGTCAGGGGCAAATCTGACTTTTCAGTTAATTAAAATGAATCTTTTGGTTTTGAAGAGAACGACAGTTGCATAGAAATGGCAGTCTGAGCAAAAGGGGAAAATCGCGTCTAGGGTTTTCAAATCGAAAGGCATTGGACTTCGATTTTTGGGGGATTTTGGAATATTATCTCAGCATTATGCGTTAATGGACTAAGTAGCGAAGTATTTTGAGTTTAAAAAGCGATAAAGTACAGATATAGAATTTCAGTTTTGTGGAAATCACAGAGAAAAGTGTTGGGTCTACAGTGTGTGGAGGCTTCTTCAAATGGAGACAATTTTTCGGTGGTCTGGAGAAGCCCCCAAGTATGGTAAGTTACTATAACCTAAATATTCCTTATGCATTTTATATTGCAATATATTATGTCTGCAAATGTGTGGTCCTGTTGTTGACAATGAAGTTTTGGCTTTAAGGTGGAAAAAAATGTAGTTGGAGTCTTTATTATTGTCTGTGGTCCCATTTCTGTTGGTTTGTCATGGAAGTGATTTCACACTTGCACATGCCTGCACTTACTTTGTCTTCCTTGTTTACTTTGTCCTCATTGTCATTGAAATTGTTTGTAAGTATACCTTTGTGTAATGTGGTAGATAAAGAAGAGCTGTGTACTCTTGAACTCCACCACTTTGGTATGTTGGAGAATGGCGTGTATAAGGGAGGCAAAGTATGCTATGTTGACAACTGTATTCATGACTATCTGTCACTATTGGATTTAAAGAAAATTGGGATAGATCTTGGATACAAAGTTGATATAACACAAAAGGTTACAAGCTTAAAAGTTTACTATAAGGGGCCTGCAAAAAGTGGTCAGCATGTTGTGAATGAGGTTGTAAATGATAGTTGTATTCCAGGGTTGGTTGGGAGCATTTCATAAGATCAAGTATTGGTGTTGTATTACCATGATCATACTCATAACAACGAGCTAGAGAGTGAAGATAAAGGGCAGCAACAACACAGTGAAGATGTTGGCAATGAAGATGAATATGAAGAGGAAGAGGAGGAAAAATAGGATGTTATTGTTGACAGTGATTATGAATTAAGTGGAGAAGAAGAAAATGGTAATAAAGAGGCTGCATCAAGAGCACAACCAAGGAACGATGCACCAAATGATGAATATGCACAATGTTTTGAAGAGATGAATGAAATGCCTCTTAATGAAGCTACATGGGAGATATCAGATGATGATGAAGATAGTGATCGACTTCCTTCTGATGTTGATAGCTCTGGTGATGAGGAATAAGGTCAAAAAAAGAGAAGCAAGAGGAAATGGAAGAAGACAAATTTTAAACAGTTTAGGAAAGAAACTGATTTGAGAAATCCAGAGTTTAGAATTGGAATGCAATTTGCCAATAAGGATGAACTCAAGGAAGCTATTAGGGAGTATGCAATTGTGCAAGGGAGGAATGTTAAATTAGTGAAGAATGATAATAAAAGGATTCAAGCAAAGTGTGCAGGTCACACGAAATGCCTTTTTATTCTGTTTGCTTCCAAGATAGACAGAGATGAGCAGACATTTGCCATAAAGACTCTGTCCTTAGAGCATGAGTGTACTAGAGTGGACAAACTGAAATATACTAATTCAAGGTGGCTGTCCAAAAGGTTTGCTGACAAGATTAGGAAAAATCCTGAGTGGGATGTAGGGGCATTCAAGGCTGAGGTTTTAGAAAAGTACCATATGAATGTTTCAAAGCATCAGATATATAGAGCAAAGAACTTGTCCAAGGTGATCATTGAAGGCAGCTATGTGGAGCAATATGCGAGGCTATGGGACTATGCAAAAGGATTGAAGAAGGCTAACAAGGGCAGCACTGTGATTATAAAGAATAAGATGAAGGGTAATGTACCTGTGTTTGAAAGAATTTATGTATGTTTGGAAGCTTGTAAGCAGGGATTTTTGGCAGGATGTAGACCTCTGATTGGTATAGATGACTGCCATTTAAAGGGACCTTACACATGACAAGTTTTAACAGCCGTTGGTGTTAATGGGAATAATGGACTGTACCTAGTTGCTTATGCTGTTGTAGAGGTGGAATAAAAAAGTAGTTGGATTTGGTTCCTTGAACTTTTGATTGAAGACTTAAGAATTGAGAATGGGAAAGCTTATGTGTTTATGAGTGACAAGCAAAAAGGTCTAATACCTGCAATTGAGACATTGCTTCCAACAGCTGAGCACAGAATGTGTGTTAGGCTTCTCTGCAGCAACTTCAGGACAGAGCATGCTGGCCTTGCACTGAAAAACATTCTCTGGGCTGCGGCAAGAGCAACTACGATTCCCTGGTATGAAGCAGAAATGGACAAGATGAAAGAGCAAGATGAAGAGGCATGAAAGTGGGTTAAGAAAATACCAGCCAAAAATTGGAGTAGATCTCATTTTGAGCCACATTCTAAGTGTGATCTGTTGTTGAACAACCTCTGTGAATCCTTTAACTCTTGCATTTTAGATTCAAGAGACAAATCTATCTTAACATGTTTAGAAATGATTAGAGTTTATATCATGTTAAGGATGGCTAATAGAAGGATTGCTGATACGGTTTGGAGACATCCAGTTGGGCCTAGGATTGTCAAGATCATTGAGAAGAACAAGTTTGGAGCTAGTCAATGCATTCCTAGATTAGCAGGTGAGAGCAAATACCAAGTGAGCCATATGTATGGGGAGAGTATGTAGTGGATCTAAAAGCCAAGACTTGCTCTTGTAGAAGATGGGATTTGTGTGGGATCCCATATTCTCATGCTATTTCTTGTATCTTTCAAAAGGAGGCAAATGTGTTTGACTATGCACATGACTGCTATAAGAAAGTGTTTACCCGTTTTGGTTTTGCTCTTGTAATGGAAGGGTAAAGTTCCCCATTGCCTTGAAAGCCATTGACTGGTCAACAAGTCAACTTTCTTTTAGTGTGCGAGCATGCCACTGCTAGCAATAAAAATCCTAGCAGACTTCTCAAAAATAAATAACTTGCACCCCAAGGTACTGATTTCTAAACAAGCGATTGTGAATTTGGGTGAGGAATATCTCCCAAGTAAGTTCTTTTCATGCCTCAGACTGGTGAGGTCTTCATAATTTTTCACAGTACAATGTTGGTAGTTCTGGCCAGAATAGATAGTAAGAAAATGAACTGTTTTCATGTGGAACTGGCTTTTACAAAATTCTACAGTAAAAAATCAACTCTAGAAAGACAAAAAGAAGGCTGGAATTCCATTTCTGCCTGGACAAAAGCTTCTTATTTGGGCTGGACTGGGTATGCCTATGCTGGATCTGTTCCCAACTTCAACTGCTGAGTTTCAGCTGTAAATCGATGCCAAAGTTTGAGTTTGGCAGAGCTTTAATCTATTTCGAGCCTTGGAAGGCTTTTTGAATAGGCAGAATTGCGACCTCTTCAATTTGAAAGGGGCAGAAGTGGCTAGACTTGCAGATTACTGAGCTGGAACTGTATTGTGGTACCTGTTCTGCTTGATCAGGGCTCTCCATAAATTTGTTGAGGTTTTCATATTTGTAAAAACTCAAACTTTGCTTGTTTGGTTTCTGCTGAACCAAATTTGTAACGAAGGAAATCTCGTTTTGAATTACTTATTTCTCTTAAGTCTGAATTGGAAGTTCTGATTTATAGACAGCTTCTTCTGGGGCTCAAATGAGTTTTGGTTGCTTCAATTTGTTTGAAGTTTCTTAGAGATCAAGTGATCATTTTGAGTTTTGTCTTTGGTTGATTTTTTGGTTTGTTTTTTTTATTTTTTATTGTCCTCTGCTTTGTTCACCTTCTTTTACATTTATAGGAATGCTAGAATAGAATTTCTAATCCTTTAAAAATGGGCGGCAAATTTTCTAAAAAACAAGATCTTCCATTTTTTAATGCAAAGAAAATGGGTTTTATCAATTCTGGCGGATAAGCTTTCAATAGTCAGTTCCTATGGCAATCACTTCCCTGTATTTTTTGAAAAGAAACCTAACCCTTCTTTTAATTTAACTGCCCCCTGTAAGAGCTCAAACGGTGATGGTTAGTTTTGATTTGACTATTTGAACAACTCTCTGCTTCCCACTTATCTCTTTGAGATTGTAGTTTGCTTATCTTTTGGAAGGATCACCTGTTCTGACGCAGAATTGTATAAAAAGGGATTCTGATCTTTTAGCCCCAGAGATTCAGAGTAGTCTTTTGCTAATGACATGCTTTCATTTAATTCCCAATCAACTTTTTTGTGATAGTTGAAATTGTTGACTTTTCTAAGTCAAGTAGTCAGTGGGTTCTGAGAATAGGCTTTCAAGAAAGATTTTGGTGACTTTGCACTCTGGGTTTTGAGATCAGTGGTGAGCCAAAAGCTAGGCCCCATCCAATTTTCTTTAAATCTTTTATTGATCTACTTCAGTGGTTGATTGCCTTTTAATCTTGACGTTTTTTTTTAAAACTCTGCCATTTTTGTAAAAGTCATGGGCCTTCTGATTTGGTCTTGGGCTTAAACTATTTTTGAATCAAAGCCCAGTCCTCCGTCCTTTTCTGTTTTGTGGGCCTTTGTGAGAAGTGGGCTGGCGTGCGAATGCTTTTTAGGCCCAAACATTGCCTCCTTAAGTCTGAATCGTTTTAAAACGGTTTCAGACTTAATGATTGGCCAATAAATGATGTGCTTCATTTCCTGCCGTTGCACTAGCACACGTCTGCCTATTCAATTAGGCTTCATGGGGAAATGGGTTCTAACGGCTAATTAAATATGAACAAAACTCCTTCCCTTCCACTCTTCCACGATCTTCCTGTTTCGTTTATAAAGATTTGCCGAATCTTCATTACTATTTATCAAAAAACCTAGTTCTATCTTAGCTTCCATTTCTTTCGAAACCTTCTGTTCTTTCGGTTCTGTTCTTTTCAATCCCCCTCTGTTCGTCTAATTTCTAGTGAGAGAGAGAAAAAAATGTCTTCTCCAAACACTCATGCCAAGGGTTCGTCTTCTTCACGCTCTCTTGCCTATCTCACTGGAGATGGTGTCGACAATCATGTGATAAAGGTTCGAAGCAAGCTCTATCCCTTCGCGCAAAAGAATTTGGATGAGAATGTACTTTATCTTTTCGAGAACACCCTGGTTCTGGGCCCTCATTGGTTTGGTTCCGTACTGAAGGAGATCGCCATCTTGTTTAGGGATGATGTTGAGGTCCCTATGTGCTATCAAAGCTCCACTTCTCTGGCTTCTCATACCTGGGTCAGCAAAAACCGGAGTCACTCGTTTCCTTCAAGTGAAGTGAGGAATAGTGCGGTGAAATGGTCAAATTGGATTGACAGGCTTCTTCCTAGGCATGGAGCTGATTGGAAGAAGGCTGGTATCTACGATGCAATTCTTCTGTCCAAGCACTCTATTAATAGAGATGAAAACCTTCGGGCTGCCGCTCTGTGTTTCTAGAACTCTGCCAACAACACATTTGACTTCTGCCTGGGCCCGATGACTCCAACTTTGCTGGACATGGCTCAGATCTTTGGGTTTAGGCCTCATGGAAGGCCTGTTGATGCTGTTGGTGACTATCACAGAAGGAATAATCATGAGAAATTAGCCAAGCCCTTCATTATCTCTTCTGCCACCATAAACTAGAATTGCTCATTTTCCAATTATCTAAAGAAATTCAGCACTGAGAAAGATAGAGATTAGCAACACATGTTGTTCGTCCTCTATTGGCTGAACAGATTCATCTTTCCCAACCGTTCCTCTGCAGTTCTGCTTGAGTACAGACATCTAGCAGAGGCTCTGGACAATCACACGGACGTGGGGCTTGGGCCTACGGTTCTGGCTCATTTATACAAGAACCTGCATACTGCCACTTTGGAGAATCCGCTGGATTATCCGCCCCTGGCGCATTTTGGATGATTCAAGTCTAGTTGCAAGTGTACTTCCCAAAACTGAGATTTCCAGACATTGTTCTCCCTGAAGACTAGGTCATGGCTCATTCGTTGATGTCAGCAGAGGTGCCCAAGCGTTCCATTGAGGAATACTTGATGTTCTTTAGGCAATGTACCAAGAAATCTGCTGTACAGTGGCAGGCAGTGCTAAGAAGGACCTACCCCTGGTTTCAGCATGGATACAGACTCTTTGAGAAAGAGCCAGAAGAAGAAGAGGAAAGAATTGAATTTATGAGGAAATTTCTGAGTGTGATGCTGCCTCAGAACATGCCATTTGGTGGAGGCAAACCTCCCAACTATTATCTGGGGGCAGAAGTGTATCATCCCAATTTCTGTGCTAAGTAACTGGGTTGTCCTCAGCTAATTCCTCTCAAGTCATACAGGAGTTGCAACGTGCTACCTCTTGGAGGGATTCAGACGATTTGGATGTACATAAAGACTGCAGATGTTCGGTAAATAAAATAAACAACAGTGTGGATGCTCTCTACCCCTATGGGAGTCTAATTCCTGCGGTTCTGCTGATTTTGAGATCTGGTGGAAGGCTAGGTTCCAAGGTTTTTCTGCCTTAAGCACTGCCCTCAAGGTGCTTTTTGATGGCTGGGACTCCTGGGCCGTCTATGCAGGGGCAGAGGCCAAGAGCTTTATGGTGCAGATGATGAAAGATATTAATGCACAAGTTATTGAAGGTATATTCTCCATTCAGCCTCTTTCCTTTGTTCTGGTCGTATTAGTTCAATTCTGCCTGTTTTTTATGATGTCTAACAACCTGTTTTGCCTGTATCAGATCCTTCTATGACTCGGGACATTGGAAGCCAGACTGTGCATTCTGGAGAAGTGATTGGTAAGTTTCCTGAATTTTGTCCTTCTAAATTTCCTTGCTAGACTGTCTTCTAATTTCTTCTTTTCTGTGCAGTTAATTCTGTCATAGCTGCTGGGGATCTAGAGCTTCCCTTTTGAGATGAGGAAGATCATCACGAGTCCTTGGTAGAGCAACCAGCTGTTGAGGCCACTCCTTCTATTAGAAGAAAAAGAAAAGAGGTTGCTCATGTTCAAGGCAGTACTATCCAGCCTAAACCTTTTGGTAAGATCTTGACATTTTGCCATATTATTTGAATATGTCCTGTTCTGTCTATTCTTCTAACCTTTATTTTCTGTTCTGTGCAGCTGAAAGCCCTCCTCCACCTGCTACTAGGTCAAAAAGGCCTAGAAAGAGGACTGGAGTTGAGTTTGACGAGATTGAAGAGCCTGCAGCTGTTCCCACCGAAACTTTTGGAACTGATGATGAGCTGTGAGAGGCTTTTGAAGCTGTTGAGCAAGAGAAAGGACAAGAAAAAGAAGAAGATGTGCCTCTAAAAGAGAAGGACAAAGAGCCTGAAGAAGAGGTGAGACTCCATTACTTGTTGCATGAATTTTTGTGTTGGTTTTTTCTACTAACATCTAAATTCTGTCCATCTGTAGGAGGAGATCCCTGCTGAGGCATTAGCAGAAACCATTGCCTTGGCCAAACAACAAGAAGAAGCTCAGAGGGCAGAACCCACAAGTTTAGAATTTGCTTTATTTGATGACGTGGAGGCAGAACATTCTGCTGCTGTCCCAGAGCTTGAGATAGAGGCAGAACACTTTGTTGTAGTTCCTATTCCTGAGGTAACTTCTAGTTTTGTCGTCTTGTCTTTTTTGTTCTGTTCATCTTGACATTTCCTAATTTGTTACTGTCTTTTCAAGTCGCAGAGAACAAGACTGCTGGGATCCTAACTATGGTGACTAGTCCTTTCAAGCCTCCCATTGTGGGTGTGAGTATTTTTGTGCCCTAGTCTTCCTTTCTCTTCCTATTCTGACTTTGACTGAAAACTGACTTGAGTTTTTTTTGCAGATGCCCGTCCATTCTTTCCCAGGTTCATCTACCATGGCTTCCTTTGCTGATTCAGAATTGGCAGAGTTTGAAGCTATGGACTTGGATGCCCAGTTGGACAAACTGGAGAAGCTTAGCTCCACTCATGGCAAGGCAAAATCCAAGGTAGTGGATAGGGTAAAGATTTGGCAATCCACTGAATTAGATTTGGATGAAAACCAAGAAGCTGTTGACCAACTGATGAAAGACCTGGACCTGCTGCATAGAGAGAACATAACTCCTGGGCCCATTCTTAAAATCAACTTGGGCTTGGCAATAGACGTGCTCAATCTCCACAACCGCTATGAAGATCTTAAGCCCTCCTTTAAAGCCTCCGAGTTCTGCAAGGCCACTCATGAAGTTAATTTGGTTGACTACTAGAAACAGATAGCAGAATTGAACCAGATGGTTGCAGGTTACAAGGAAGTCAAGACTGCTGCTGACAAGCTGGAGAAGCAGATTGAAGAACTCCAAAAAACAATTGGCTGGGCTGAGGGAAAGGCAGAACAAACTTGGGGCTGGACTAGGCACCAAGACCAAGAACATTTTCCTTGTGCAGCACATGCTAGCTGCCTCTAGGCCAACATTGGAGATTGCAGAGGCCTCTCTCCATCAAGGGATGCTTCTCCAGCAAGAAATCTTTACCAAGAAGACCGGATTCAAGAAACTTTAAAGAAACTAGGACTTTGAATTTAAATTTTGAAAATGTAATAAATTTAGTCATGGAAAATGACTATATTTAATAAAAGTTATATTTTGTGGAACTTTTTAATTATTTGCAATTTCTCTTGTCAAAGTAAAAGAAAGTAGAAAAGAAAAAAAAACTTAACAAATTACAATACAAAACAAACTCTGAACAGAAATTTAGATAACAGTTTCATTTTGTTCCCTTTCTATTCCAGGATCTGTTTGTAGAGCCTGTGAATCCCACATGGTTGGGTAGAATTTCTTCAACCATTTGCCATTGATTGGTGCAGCATGAACATCTCCATATCGATCCTGTAATCTGTATGCCCCCATTCCAAGGATTTGCTTAATTATGAAAGGACATTCCCATGTAGGTGACCATTTTCCATAACCAGCTATGTGTGTTCCAAGGGGCAGAACTGCTTTCTAGACTATTTCTCCCTCTTCAAAACTCTTGTTTTTAACTCTTTTGTTGTTGGCCCTTGACACAGCCTGTTTTCCTGCTAAGAGTTTGTTGAGGGTGTCAATTCTACTTGTATCCAATCCTTATAGCTCTAGCAGCATGGCTTGAGAGTAGTCTTCTCCAGTTAGATTGTGCTAGTGAGCAATTCTGATAGATTGGACTGCTATTTCCATAGGCAGAATTGCATAATGACCATAAGTTAGAGCATATGGGGTCATGCCAATTGCCTTTCTCTTTGAAGTCCTATATGCCCATAGGGTTTCTGATAATTTCTCATGCCACTGCTTTGGATTTTTCCCAAGCATTTTTCTAACAATGTTGATGATCACCTTGTTACTGGATTTTCCCTGTCCATTAGCTTGAGCATAGTAAGGGGTGGATTGAAGTAGCTTAAATTTGAATGCTTCTGCCATATCTAGCATTTCTTCAGATATGAAAGAAGATCCCATGTCTATTGCGATTGATTCTGAAATGCCAAACCTTTGTATAACCTGTTCTTCTATTCAGGTGATGATCTCTTGAGATGTAGTGGATTTAATAGGCTTGGCTTCCACCCATTTGGTGAAATAGTATGTAGCTACAATGATAAAACAATGTTGCTTGCTACTGGCTAGATAAATCTTGCCAATGAGATCAATTGCCCATCCTCTAAATGGCCATGGCTTTACTACTGGATTCATGGGAATTGAAGGAGCCTGCTGGATTGGGCCATGCCTTTGACAAGCCTCACATCTCTTGGAATACTCAATGCGATCTTTCATCATGGTTGGCCAGAAGTAGCCATACCTTTTAATTAACCAACACATTTTTCTTCCTCCTTGATGAGCACCACAGATTCCTTCATGGGTTTCTCCCATGACCTTCATGCATTCTTTCTTCCCCAAGCACCTCAGAAGTACCTCATCTTTGCTTTTTCGGACCAAATCTCCAATCCACATAAAGTAGTTCAAAGCCATGATTCTGACTCTCTTCTTAGAAGGCAGGATTTGATACTGCAAGTAATTTATGATGGGACTTCTCCAATCATCTTCAGTAATTTTGGCAGAATTGACATCTATCTCTATTCCTCTGGTTAGAACAGATGGTAGACTTTTCTTTCCTACCTTGATGATCCTTTGTACACAGTCCTCAGACATTTGTATTCCTGTTGCTACCTGAGCCAATTCATTGGCTGCAAAGTTTTCTTCTCTTGGGATGTGTTCCCAAGTAGCTTCTCTGAATTCTGTTAGAAGGTTTCTGGCTGCCACTAGATAGATAGTTAAAGAAGGACTTAGACACTTGTATTCTTCAGCAATCTCTTTTAACACAAGCATAGAACCTCCCAGAATTTTCACAGATTGGGTTCCTAATTCCACTAGCATTTCAAGGCCAATGATTAAAGCCTCATATTCAGCCATGTTGTTGGTGCATTGGAAATCTAGCTGGAAAGAATAACAATGTCTGATCCCTAGTGGCTCTTCTAAAACAATCCGTGCCCCAAAAGCTATATTAGTCTTTGATCCATCAAAGTATAGTTTCCAAGGTGTAAGGTGAACTGAATGGATGGGATTGTTAAGGCACGTATGAGCTCTTGTCAACAGATCTGCATTTAATATGTCCAAAGAGTCCATGTTTTCAATTTCTTCGCCTGGATGATCTGCTAGGAAATCTGCTATAGCTTGTCATTTGACAGCTTTCTGAGGAACATATTTGAAAGCAAATTCTGTCAAAGCCAAAGTCCATTTTCCAATTCTGCCTCTTAACATTGGGCTTGTTAGCATGTATTTGATTAGGTCTGTCTTAGCAATGATGTAAATGGTGAATGGCAGCATGTAGTGTATGAGTTTCATAGCAGTGAAGTATAAGGCTAGACAGAGCCTTTCAATTGCAGAATATTTCCTTTCTACTTCTGTCAGAGTTCTGCTCAGTTAGTAGACTGTATGTTCCTTCCATTCTTTGTTATCTTGAACCAACAGACTCCCAAGGGACACTTCTGATGTCGAAACATAGAGTTTGAGTGGTCTGCCCCTCTTTGGTGGGGACAGAACTGGCGGTTTTGAGAGGTAATGTTTGATTTCCTCAAAAACCTGTTGATGCTATTCTTCCCACTTAAACGTCTGTTCCTATTTTAACCTTAGCAAGGAGGAGAAGGGTTGGATTTTTCCTACAGAATTGGATATGAACCTCTTTAGAAAATTAATTTTTCCTAGGAGACTCTGCAGTTCCTTCTTGTTCCAAGGTGGTAGAGCTTCTATAATGGATTTTGCTTTATTTTTGTCAATCTTTATGCCCCTTTGGTGGACCAAGAAACCCAAGAAATTTCCTGCTTGAACTCCAAAAACACATTTTTTGGGATTCATTTTCAACTTATGTTGTCTCATTCTTAGGAATGCTTTTCTCAGGTTTGATACATGATCTCCCTCTTTTGGGGATTTAATCACCACATCATCTATGTATACTTCTAAAGAATGACCTGTCATGTCATGGAAAACAGAATTCATTGCTCTTTGATAAGTAGCTCCTGTATTTCTGAAGCCAAAAGACATTACAGTGTATTAAAAAACGCCTATATGTCCTGGGCTCATGAAAGCCGTTTTATGGATGTCTCCTTCAGCTACCATAATTTGATTATATCCTGTATTGCCATCCATAAAAGATAGCATTTGGTTTTGAGCAGCTCCATCTACTAACATATCTACCATTAACATAGGATATTTGTCATTGGGAGATGCTTCATTCAGATTCCTGTAATCCACACAGATCCTAACTGCCCCTGTTTTTCTCTTCAGAATTGGACAATATTGGCTAGCCAATCAGCATAAATGGTTGGTCTGATGAATCCTGCCTTGAGCAATCTTTCTATTTCTTCCTTGACTTTCAGTTTTGTTTTCATAGATATTCTTATTCTGGCCTGTTTGACTGGAAGGTAGCCTTCTTTAATTGGCAGCTTGTGTTCTACCAGTTTTCTGTCTAATCCAGGCATCTCATGATAATGCCAAGCAAAACAGTCTCTAAAATCATTCAAAAGTGCAATGATTTCACTTTTGAGTGGTTCTTTCAACAGTGCACTAATGAAAGTAGGTCTTGGATCCTCTTCTGTCCTTAAGTTTATCTCCTGTAATGAATCTTCCACTTATGGCAAAGAGTTATCCAGTGCTGCTGGTGCAAAATCTAGTACTTCCTCTTGTAAACTTTCTTCCTGTTCTTCAGTGCTCTCGTGAGTGAATTCTGCCATATTAATGGCTGGATTCTGCATGAAGAGCTTCCTTTCTTACCAATATATCAACAATCTTTTTGTAATGGATCGGATTGTTGCAGCTCGATCATTTTCTTGTTGATTGAGACTAAACATCAGAGTTCTGAAGGTTTAGAACAAAAGGTCTATTCCAGTCTTCTAGAGAACTGGCTAAACCATATTCAATGAGTATTTGGGCCGTGACACCATGGGGGCGGCCGTTCTGGTTGACTCCAAGGAAGGTGAAAGGACCAAAGTCATTATGATAATACCTTGCCTCAAAACACATGGCAGAGGGCAGAAATGGACGTGGATCGGCCTCTACTATCTCCATGAAACCTTCCTCATTCCAAAGGGCTAATTGCTGATGCAGAGTGGAAGGAACACATATTTTAATCCTTTGATTGTATTTTATTGAGGAAGTAATTTTATATTAAAAGTCAATGAAATTCTAGCAAGGGGGGATGGGAGAAACTCACACACACACACAGTTATTTCATAAATGGTAGTATTATTTTCTTAATCTCTCTAGGAGAGTCAAGCCGATAATGTTATGAAATAGTTCGAATAGGAGCACTCAAGCGCTAATTTGTTAATAAGTTAATACGATACTAACTACTCAGTTTAGCCCACTTCATGATATCATTTCACATTGATTAATAATTTGTCCATTCATTATAATCATAATTGTCGTTAATTTCGTATTATAAAATGGTTGAATATTAATATCATCACCTACAGTATTAAAGACTCAAAAGTTAATAATTTATATTCCAACATAGAGAAGAAATACCCACACAAAAAAAAGTTCATAAATCCCGATATTAAAGTACCTTACTCAGACATGTAAAAAAGGAGGGAAAAAAATCACAAAGTTTAAGCTGAAGTTAAACAAAAGAGGAAGAGAAAGAGAAGGAAAAAAAAGAGGAGTTTTTAGTGCAAATATCATAACCAAACATAGTAGATTTAATTGAAAGTAGAAGAGTGATTAAGAAGTTTAATGGTCAATTTGTAGACAAAAAGAACCTAATATATTATTTATTTTAGAGTAAATATCCCAAAAATAATATATTATAATATAATATATATCATATATAATATATAAATGCAAGGGGTAAACAGATTGAGGGGGCCTAGGACCACACAGATCCCTACATGGCTTCGCCCTTGATGTCGATTAGTGGCTAGTTTTTGTCATTGATGTCATTGAAAAAAATTCGGGGAAATTATGGCAGTTGAAAGGGATTATAGAAAAGTTATTTTCGAGAGTGATTCTATTCAGATTGTTTTAGCTTTTCGGTTGGCCTAAGTCACTAGGTAGGTTTTATCCATGTCTATCATTATCTCCATTTACCATATGTGTCTTTTGTACTCCTTATTCCTATTGATCTAATAAAATTATATCACTTTTTTATTAAAAAAATAATAGTATTATTAATGTTAAATATTTTGGATTCTAATGTCCAACAACTTACCTAATACCCACTACCGTTTCCTGCGATTATCTTAATGTAGTAATATCTTTTGAATAGAAATGTGATCTTATTATGAATATTTTGAATGTTGATGATGCTTAGTTTATGCAAATTGATTAATGCATTATTGTCCTTTGCGCGGAGGACCATGAATAAAATATATCTATTTTCGGAGAATGAAAAAAATGGTGCCATGTTAACATCTGAAATGACAAATTGTCCATATTATATTGACAATAACATACCAATAACAAAATGTATCTATATATTATCGATGCAAAATTCAACTTTTAATCATGCACACATTAAATTTGTGGACTAATGATTTTTTTTTAACTTTAAAAAGACAAAAAAAGCCTATACAGCTAGCAATATAGTAACAACCTACTCTAGCTACGTGAATGGCGAAATCTTAAAAAGACCTAACAATATATTCCTCTCTCTGGTTTGGAAATTTTTGAAAGGTTTGCTGATGCTGTAGGTTCACTTTGGGCCGTGGTTAATCAAAACAAGCTGAGGTATGGCTACTTAAGCTAGTTTATTAATTAACTAACATGGTTAATTAGGTTAATCAAAACTAGCTAAAATGCCTTTAGGTCTCAATTAGGAAAAATGTTTCATAATATTTTTCAAACATGTTTTCAAATGATGACGTGGTATGGTCACAACATATCGAAGGAAAAAAGGTTTAGAAAATTAGCAAAGATTATATCACCATGAAAGATGGCCTTAATTTGGTACTATTGGAGCAGGAGGTGTGATTCGCGACTCTGGAGGTGGATGGCTTGGTGGGTTCACTGTTAATTTGGGCATAGGGCAAATTTTGGATGCTGAATTTTGGGGTCTGTTCTTTGGCATCAGACTTGCTATTGACAAAAGGGTCTCTAAACTCATTATTGAGACGGATTCTGCTAGTGTGGTGCAACTTATCCAAATGATTGAAGCTCTTTACTCTAATCCTCTTGCTGGGATGATCTCTAGTTGTCGAGAGCTCATGAATCGGTTTGATTATTGTGTCTTGCGTCACATACAGAGAGACGAATGGGGTGGCTGACTGTCTCACCAAATGGAGTTACAACATGGATTTGGGTCTATATACTTTTGATCATGTGCCTACTTGAGTGGGATCCTTTCTGATGGATGATTTGTTAAGGGTGCCCAAAACCCGTTGTTCTAATTATGTTTAGCTTTTCTTTTTTGGGGCTCGGCCCCCATTTTACTGGAAAAAAAAGAAAGAAATATGGCCTTAATTTGTAGGTCAATGGTCTTATGTTCGAACCTCTATAACAACTTGACAACACCCCCCTTCCCCTTATTTCTAATTTTGGCTAAAAAAACAAGAAAATAAGAAAGGAAACATAAATAAGCTAAAAAGTGTGGTGACAAATCTGAGTGTTATTCTCACGAAAGACATGAGGGGAGATACCCAAGAAGTCATCACTTATTACAAATTATAATTCGACACATACGTATGTCGTGTCACTTTAAAAACACAAAACTCATTTGGTCCTAAACCCAAATTTCCCCCCTCCAAAAAATAAATATTTGGGTTTTGCCCGAACTTAAACAGTTTTTTCTCCAACTCTTGATACTCAAATTTTAAGTTCACAATTTTATTAAGTTGTTTAAGAATGGTTTACGTCATTTTTTTATGGATACTTTTGTTCATTTAATATTTTTAAATAACTTCATAATTTTATTTTTGAACAATTTGACCTTAAAAAAAATTTGAAATTCCACAAATATAATTTTATTTGAGAAATTAGTGGGTATTTATAGAGTTTAGAGTGAGTTTTGGGGTTGGATTTGATTTTATATTAATTTAAAAAATTAATTTGACCTTTGGTTTTAAATTTCAAGCATTGATTTTATTTTATTTTACCATTAAAATAGCTTTGATTTAATATGAATTGTTCATTTG